ACGACTCAGAATGGAGAGCGTCAGTAGATACATAGACAATTAAAATACAGCAGATACCACCATTGGAAGGGAAGCTCGACATTCAACGACTCAAACTGTCTCCCGAAAAGTCACTGTTCGTTCATGCGCCATGTAAGATATAAATAAAATGTACCAGAGTTAAATCATTTACTCATCTTCAATTCTCACATCGAGATATTCATAAGACTTTCTTGCGAAAGTATATGAACACAAAGCGAGAGGGAAAAAAGATAGGAAGAAGAAAAAAGGAGAATAAAATGCACAACGGCCTACCACATGATCCTTCGTCACTGTGTTCATCGTCGTGGATAGCGAGTGTCTGCTATTGAATTTCCTCGTGGAGTTTTGTGCACCCGCGGTTTCTTTTCTCTATTTATCCCAGCCAACCCAGCTGCGGGGCATCACTCGCCAAACCTTGCACTCGCCGCTGCGAAGATCGGACAGCTTGAAGCTTTCGATCTTGACTTTCTTGCTCTCGCGACCTTGCTCCCACGCACGGATCTTTTTCTTGGTGCCATCCCAATCCACGACAACGCCCACGTGGTCAGGCTTACCGACCTCGGAGCTGTACTTCTGGTGCATCGTGCCCCGATGGCCTTGGAAGCGAGCATTGCGGAAACTCACGATATCACCGGCGCGGATTTCGTCGTTCTGCTGCACGGAGGCATTCGCAAGGTTGGAGTAGACCAAGGCACCGTACGCGCGGGTCCCCACAGGACGGAGCCCGCCCGAAAGAGGCTCGAGCAGATACCGCACCAGGCCGAACGGGGTGCCATCGCCCACGGTGGTGTTCTGAACCGTCTGGACAGCGCTCGAAATGCGGGTGCCTAATTCAAGATGCGCATTCTCGAGCTGGTCCTGACGAAGCTGAACGGGCGGAGCTTCGTGTCTCTGTTCCAGAGAGGCCTCGGCGGGGTTCCGGGGGTCGTAGCTCACTGTGATCACCGTCTGCGAGTAATCGAGGAATAGAACATAGACATCCTTGGCCACCATGGCCTTGCTACCCTGGTTTGCGGCGCTGGATTCTTCTATCTCCAGAAGGATGTCCTTGCGGTTCTGGAAGACTGGCGGAGGCGTATTTGGCTGTGACCACCACAGCGAGCTTTCTGCCAAGTCCACGTCCGTGGCAATATAGCTTTGGTCAGCAGAAGGGCGGGAGACATCCATGGATCTCCGCATGGGCTGGCCTCGCGGCACATCTAAGGATGCACGCGTGCTCCGCGGCGTAGACGGGGATAGAACGGAGGGGATCGACGGAGGTAGAGGAGAGACAGACGCGCGTTTCGCTGAGGACGCCGCAGTCAACCTCTCCTGCGGTGGCTGCGTGGGCGACGTTGTGTCATACACATCATCCGATTCTTCGTCAAGCTGCGGCTGTTTAACGACAGGAGGCAGGGGTGGCGCTCTGGTGGCAGGAAGCCCATGCAAAGGAGCCGTATATCGGTAAGGATCATACTCCTCGTCCTCGTCAAAAGACTGCTCCCTGTGGGGAGGCGGAGGAGGGGGTCCCCGTGGGGAATCCAACGAGCTTCTCCCGCCGCTGCTCTTAGGGGGTTGGATAGGTGGCGGTGGCGGCACAGCTCGCGGCGCAGACGGAGGGGGATGGGGAGGAGCGCGCGACTCGCGGGGACTCCGAGGGGACTGAAGCGAATGGTCGTCGGTAATGGTACCATCGTCGACGCTGGAATCACGGCCATGAGACTTGAGGGCATCCTTGAACTTGGCACCAGACGCAATGTCCGTGTCATAGTCACCATCATACTCAGTGATTTCTCCTTCGGCTTCTTCTCCAGCCTGCCGGGGTTGCGACGATGTGCTGGGTCGGCTGTCCGCCGTGGATCTACGGCGGGGAGGCCCGGGAGGAGGTGGGGGCGGAGCCCGGCTTTGGACTGGCATCGGAGGGTTTGTAGGAACAGGTGGAGGGGCGCGGCTCTGTCGTTTCTCCGAAGGAGACGTCGGAGTTGGGGCATCATAGGTTGACGGGCGGCGCGAATCGAGATGTTCAGGAATTGACGATGCCGAATCGGCCTGGGAGACGGCGGCAGCGTTCAGTGATAAATTCCTCGCATGTACGGAGAGTTCATCGTCTGACTCGTCACCTTCATCACCAGATGTGGGACTTCTAAGTGGTGGGGGTACGGGACGGCCTAGAGCAAAAGTGGTGAGTCAAGGTATGCCAGTATTGTGGATATGAACCCTTGTCCGCATTACTTACCACCTGGAACTGGCGGAGGCGACGACGGATGTCCCTGAGGAACAGGGGGAGGAACAGGCCGCGTGTCCACTGGCGGAGGTGGGGGTGCGGCGCGTCCTACAATAAGATGGATATCAGCCGGTGAACCTAGGTCAGATGGGACGACTGCGACTGTACCTTGAGGCAAAGAAGGTGCCCGGTCCAAAGAAACGCGGCGAGGAGGTTCCGGAACGACCTCCTCAACGTCAGGGACGTCTTCCGCATGACGTTGTGTTGTAGGAGATACTTGTGCCTCCTCCTCGTCCTTCTCGACACTTGGAGCGGCTGGCTTTGCCATTCCAGGCATCGCCATCACAGGAACAGGAGGCGCAGCGGCGGGGGGAGCACTCTCGGAATCTTCAGGCTTCCTCGAAGCCTCCGAGACAGATGTCTTCGGTTTGCGAGAAGCTGCGCCAGGCATCGGCATACCACCTGGAGCACCGAACAAGCCCATCATACCCATACCGCCGCTCATTTTGGCCATTCGTTCACGGAGTTCCATCTTGCGTTTGGTCTCTGGATCCATGTCTTCTTCCGCTTCCTCCTCCCCTGGTCCCGCTTCCTCGTCATCCTGGACCTCCTGGTCCCTCTCCTCCTTCTCAGCCTTGTGGTCAGCTCCTTGAGGGATGCCATGGCGAGAACCCACCCGAGCTTGATCTTCATAATCCTCTTTGCTCGTGGAAGACTCATCTGCATCCTCGCTATCGACAGGCGCAGAGTCATCCGCGTCGTTGGTATCGCTAGCCAGCTCTTGCACCGGGAGGGGGGTGGGTAGTTGTGGGGCAACGGGGGCCGCCGGCTTCACCGTCTCAGTGCTATGGTCCCGTGGCGCTTCGGCTGCCTCAGGCCTCTCGAGATCGTCATCTCCCGCCGGAACACCTTCGTCAGTCGATTCTGCACGGGGCTTGGGTGCTTTCTTCGGCTTCTCCTTCTTCTGGGCGGCCTCCGCATGGCGAGCTGCCTGCTCCAATTGTTGCTTCTGTAGGAGGGCAATCCGATCTTTCAAGCTCGTTGGCTTCGGCTGCTCTTCGGCCGCTTCGCCGGCCCCCTCGACCGGAGGGCTACGCTCGGATACCGGTGGCTCGCGTGCGACGCGCTCCTGAACGTCGGGATCCTCCTCTCTTCGGTAAATCTTTGGTGGAGGCTCCCTAGGCGGAGGGACGTAGGCATTTTTGCTCGGAGGCGGCGCGACAAACGGCTTCTTGATGAAGTTCTGCCCGCCCAACCCACTGGGCTTGAAGGGGGCAATAGGGGCCGCAGCAGGTTTGTTGAAGGCTGCGATGCGATCCTTGAATGAGGAGCCGGTCGGCTTCTCCGTGACAGGGGGCGGCACGGGCTTCGACGACAGCTTCGGGGCCGGGGGCGTCGGTTCCGGCTGAGGGACCGAGGCTTGCGCCGGCGCCGGCTGCGGGACGGGTGCCTCACTGAATGAAGGCTCTTCGGCAACAGGAGAAGAGATGGGAAATTGAGGAGGAGCTCCTGCAACTGCTGTTGGGGATTCCACTACCGCTGGCGCCGGTTCCGGTTCGGGCTCTGGGTGACGCTCTACCACAGGGGTCTCAACCGCAGCGGGCTCTGGGGGCGCCGGCGCCGGCTCGGCCTCCTTCTTGGGCCTATTTGGGCGAGAGGGTCGTGGAGGAGCAGGGGGGTCATATTTCTCCACGAAATTCTTGGGAAAGATGCCCTCTGCCTTCGCTCCGGTCTCATCCGTGTACTCGCCCAGGTACCAATCGTCATCTTCCTCCTGAACGACCGTTATGATCTGTCCGATGGAAAACGTGAGGTCGTCATCGTGGTCTGAAGTATATTCGAAGACCGCTTTGACGGTGAACGGCGTGGCGGACATTTGGCCAAAGAGTGCCTGGACCTGGACCCGAGGGAGCGGGGAGGGAGGCGAATGAGAAAAGGCGGGGACAGATAGCTGTCAGCGAGAGGTAGTGCCCAGCAATTCCACGTTACCAGGCGACGACCAGGGTTGAGTAATGGGACATAAGATACAAAAAGATCTGGTTGACACCGGTGGACGGGGATAATAATCGACCTGAGGGGCAAGAAGCCGAATGGGAGGGAATATGTCAGCCTGGTTGACGTACGTCAGAGCATGCCTCGGGGGTTCGGAACAACTCCTGTTCCCCTGAGCGGGGGATTGGGTTGGCTTACAGCACCGTCCACAGCTGGATGGAGGGGGTGAATAATGATCAAGATGATGAAAAAGAGGTCAGAAGAAAGGAAAGGAGGGGTGGGTGGGGGGGAACAAAATGCAGTGGGGTGGGAAAGAGAAGAGGAGCGAATATTACGGAGTAACTATTTAAGAAGGTCGAGAGAGCGAGAGAGGAAGAAGGGAGAGAAGGGGGAGATTAGTGAGGGTCAGTGACTTTTGGACGGGGTTGCCAGTTGCCGCCTTTCTTCGCGGGATGGTTGACTCCACCATTGATCAGCAACTAATTACGGCCGACCAGTACTTACCATGTCATGGTCGAACATGGGTTATAGGATAGATGCAGTTGTACTATATAGTAGGCTATATTATACTTTGGCTTTTATCAAAGTTTACAATATAGAGAGTCTCTCTAAGTGTAACAATCTAATTAATTACATGACGGACCACCAAATATATCATGACACTTTGAACTCTGTAGGTAACGTTATCTCCGCCCACATTACATAATTGAGTCGTTTGTATCCATAGTAGTATCTCAGCGATGTTGCTAATGTCAGCTTGGTTGTTGATATACCAAGGCCCATACCGCTTGGTAGTGCCTGATTTGGTATCAGGGTATTCCTTGATCCAAGCCACCAACTGGGCCACTGTTGAGCCCCTCTGCGGGGCTCATACGCTCCCTTTACGCGAATAGCGGGAAAAGGAGGAGAAGAAGCTTATCTTTCTATTCTCCCGGCTAACTCGTGCTAAATACATACCAGCTACTGGCAACTCGGGAAGGCACGAGGGACGAGAAACCAACAGCCACTTCTTGCATGTGAACACCCGGGGAATGGTATCGGTGCCTCTTGCGCTTGCATTCTATGATGGCTTGGATTTCCCCGGTCCCATCTTTCTGCAATTGCCCGTCAGTCACCGCGTAATATTGGCGCGGTTTAGCCTCCTCCCCGGCTACAGCGCCAAAGTTTGCATGCAGTTCGATCCTTGACGACCTCCACTGCTTGTTGGTTGCCGGCACCATCATAGCGAGAGCTTGGAGAAAGCTCCAAAGTGAATTATTGACTGCAGTCTCATCTGTGGTTTGCAGTTTGTTTTTGACGACTTTGTCGCCCTTCATAACCTCACACTGCTGGAAGAGGGTGGCTTGGGATCTTGGGAGCCTTTGTCCGTGTTATTTTTGATTGAATGACTATGAATCTGGAAACCGGGGTCTGCATATCAAGTTTTGGGCCACATAAGGTTAGGCTTAGGCTAGTATAGCCGATACCATGGCCTAGGATTTCAGTTTCTGGATTGGTGGTGGCGTCTTTCTCATTTGTCTTGAAACTTGCTCAAATGTATGGTTATGTGTAGCAGTGGCGGTAGCTACCGCTGTTGTTTCGGCTCTTGCACAGTATTAGAAAAGTAGATAAGAGTCTGTAGGCACCATGATGATCTGCGCCAGTTCAACATGGCTCTGCCCACATATTTGGGTGAATCCCAATGAAAACAGTCAAATTCTTGATGATACAGATGAGGTTGAATCTTGGAGAAGCTTTCAGACTATAGGAAGAAACTGAAAGAGATATCTGCTGAATATACGGCAGTCATAAGAGTATCAGGTGATATGTTTGACGAACTGCAGTCACTGATTCTACAAGTTATCGTCATGTTTGAGTGAAGACCAGATACGTATAGGAGACAACACATGAAACATGGACACTCTGGTCTATGGATAGGACCAGGGGAGGACAGTGTTGGGAATTCAGAGACTATATTACTCATGGGCTTCTATACTGGGGCTAACTTCTAGTGATATTCACACAACCGTGATAAGAACGGACTCATGTTGATTCATAAGTAAATTTGCCCAACCATTGCATATTTTGCAAGAATTACTACCCAGCTACTCAAGATACAATTACACTTTTCCGTTTCGTAGGTAATCTTATATTCAGTGCAACACAGGACTATTTTGCGAATCTCATATATCCTCTTCCATGGGCCTGCTCATCAGGAAACGTGCAAAAAAGTCCCAGAGCGCAGTATCCGTCTTCTCAAAGCTATAATTCTTAGACTGCCGGATAACAAGCCTCTCGCCATCCATGCATGCGTAGAACAAGCGCCCATGCTGGGGTCCCACGAACGACAGTATAAGGACCGGGAATCTCCTTTCCGTGGCGAACTCCAGTGGCATGCTGTTTAATTCCTCTTCTGACTTATGAAAAAGGACTTCCTGGGCCTCTTCGTCGTTTCTGTCAGCCTTGATCTGGTTGGCACGGTTGCGCATCGCCCATAATATGGGAGCAAGCTCGCCAAAAAGCATAGTGTCATCCTTGCCATCGAAAGACTGAACGACAGTACTGATAATGTGAGGGAGGCGTTGGCCGTTATCATTTACGCAGCCAACAACGTAACTGGCGAGCAGTTGAGATTTAACTTGCAATCATCAGGCTGAACCAGTGGACCCATCTCAGATATTCACTGGCAAGGCTGCCAGTCAATATCTCAAGATCATTTTGCATAAACAGTCCTGAATGTGTCAAACTAGCTAAATGTGGTACTAAGCTCAAGTTGTTTATAGTGGACTATATCTTGCCCACTTGCAGTCGACCACGCATGGGAGTGGATCTCACTTGTTATTCCCCTTGTATACAGAGTGACCTCACAGAATCAGTAGATTCTCCCATTTGACAGTGAAATCTATTAGATAACACAATACCCCATGGACATTCCTGACATGCAAGTGGGTGATAAGGTAGATTCTGGCCTTTGAAACCGAGGCCATTGTGTCCCGAGTAGGATTGTCGCAGTGGCTCAAAATAGAACCAAGAGTACGCGACCGCGATGAAAGAGCACCATGAATATGGAAACCTCATTGATATCGGAATTTAAACAGTGACAACGAAATGCTATCAAAGAAATGACCACTTGATATTCAAGTTTGGTTGAGTTGATGGACTCCCAATAAAGACCAAAGGTACTGACTGTGGCAGGGTGAATAAACCCGTTTGCTGAACTTTGAGGAGCATAAAGTCTGAAGTGAGAGAGCAAAAATAGCATTTGAAATACCTTTCAGATGCCGGAAAAGTACTAGCAATGTTCATGAATGGTGGTTTGGGATGAGTACATTGTCGAGGCTCTTTGTGTTGGGGTGACCAAACGGGCAAGTGGATACCTCAGGTGCGACACACGCCTTTTGTCTGGGGTCTCCTCACGCGCCATGAATCTGGTTTCCTTCCAGGAGTCCATCCACAAAGAACACTTCCTGACGATGGGTCTATAAATGCGAACATTGATTCCCTGCACACCGATCCAGTCTACAAACCATGTCCGATATTCCTACCGCATCTTGCTTCAACGATAACGGCGGTATCCCCACCGCGACCTGCTTCAACCATAAAGGCGTGACATTTGACGACGAAGGTCAAATGATAATACCCACCATGTCGACCTCCGTACCCTTCACCCTCGACATCGCGACAGTGCTCTGCATCCTCTTCGCCCTCTCCTTCATGCCCATCGCCTACTTCCTGGGCAATCGATACATCCCCGCCACGCATAAGCAATTCCGCATCCTCTTCTACTGGCACGCCTACGATGCCCTCACCCACCTCTTCATCGAGGGCTCCTTCCTCTACGAGTCCTTCTTCAGCTACATGAAGATCCCCGGCGGCATCGGCGGCGCACCACACTTCCTGGGGCGCCAGGACCGCGTCTACGGCGCCGCCTTCGGGACGTGGCCGAGCGCGCGGCTCTGGCAAGAATACGCCAAGGCCGACTTCCGGTGGGCGACCGCCGACGCGAACGTCATCTCGCTCGAGCTCCTGACGGTGCTGCTGGCCGGCCCCGCGGCCGTCTACATCTGCTACCTGCTGTGGATGATGTTCAACGCGCGGACGACCACGGAAGCCAAGGGCGACGCCCGGGCGAAGCTTTGGTTCGCGGCCACGACGGTGGCTACGGCGGAGCTGTACGGGGGGTGGATGACGTTTGCGCCGGAGTGGCTGACGGGCAGCACGAAGCTCGAGACGGGCAATATGGTGTACTTGTGGTTCTATCTGTTCTTTTTCAACACGCTGTGGGTGGTGATGCCCCTTTGGGTGCTGCGCGAGGCTTGGGGGGAGTTTCGGGAGGTTTTTGTCACGGCGGAGCGCGCTGGTCACGGTCGCAAGAAGGTGTAGATCGGGGGATGGTTGAGTGGATGATGGGAGTTGAGGACAAGCTTAATGAAAGTTTCAGTAAAATGGGGTTGGTAAGGGGATGGATGCTCAGAGGTTTATGGTTTTTTCAGCGACCAGTGTTAGTCATTGTTATAGATTTGCTTATAGTTGGATAGTTACAATCGAAGTTTCTCAAATTCGGTATCATTCCGCAGTCTTTCAGGTTCTAACCCTTATCAATTGATGGGCCAACTCCGCGACGGCATTACTAGTTGGAATAATTTCATGCATTCATGCTTTGATCAGTCTCAATGACCCCCTCTCTCTCTCTCTCTCTCTTTCTCTTACTTTCATAGTAACGAAACAGCCTATGACTGGTACTTTCGCGTTAACCATCATCATTTAGTCTACCATCCACCACCACGACCATTCATTTGCTGAGAAAATTAGCAAGTCCCGAAACAACGAAAATGCTTGAGCCACCATAATGACAAGTTCTCCTTCCCAGTACAAAAATGTGGTTCAGTGGTGGCACAGTACTATTAGCTTAGGGAGTGCATTGAGCCACGGATTTGGCTGTTGACTGCCGTTCTATAAATGGTAATTCGCCAGAAAGAGTACGATCGACCAGGCAATTTCCAGTACCGAACTCCCGGACTTCTCCTGAACAGAATCTCTTGGCACCTCGTGTGGTTCCTTCACTATTGGCAGCTTCACGAGAGCCCATCGTCATTATGAGCACACTTCATCCAATAGAAGCACACCCTCTCCACTAGAGTGGCTCAGCCTTACTGCCAAGCCACAGTTTCCGAGTTGATGCCTGGTGTGGCGGGGCAGGACCGTGACCGTGACAGGCAGGAACTGGTGGGTTCCTCAGGTATGCACTGCACGATCTGACGCATGCCGTTCCTTCGTCCTGGCATTTTCCCCACCTGCTTATATTCTGGCTCGCCTTCGTGTCTGCCCTGTTGGCTTTAAAGTCCTGACATCCCCCCTCTATCGTTACCACCTGTCTATCTTTACCACTCTTTACCACTCTTTTCCCTACATTTATATTCGAAACCACTGAACAAGAATTGTCTCGTCAATACACCACTCTTGCGAGTCACTAGCCATGTCGTACAATCCATACCCCCCTCCCAACCGTATGTCTCATCCCACATCCCTTGCATCAGAGTACACCAATACTAACGATATCTCCATCTCAGAGGGCCCATACCCTCCATACGGCCATCAGCAAGGCTATCAGGCTCCGCACCCAGGTTATGGGACCCCCCCTCCCCAGAACAATTACGGTCGTCCTCCACCACCGCCTCCACAGGGTGGTTATGCGCCCCAGGGCTATCCCCCCAACCCGGGATATCCTCCTGCCCACCCGCCACCATCGCACTCCCCATATGGTGCTCCGCCAGTAGGAGCCCCCTCGCCGCAACCGCCATACCCTCCGCAAGGCTACTCTGGATACCCCCCTGGTCCACCGGGTCCGCCGGGTCCGCCGGGTCCAGGGGGCTATGGTGGTCCGCCTCCCCCAGGACCGGGTTATCCGCCGCAACCGCCCGCCTTCCATGCGCCTCCGTCGCTCCCCTCCCCCGGTTACGTACCGGGCCAGATGGCTCCCGGTGATTGGCGTCCGCAGGCGGACCAGCTGCGCAAAGCGATGAAAGGATTTGGCACCGACGAAGCAACCCTCATCAAGGTGCTCGGGACCCTCGACCCGCTCCAGATGGCTGCCGTCCGCAGCACCTATGCAAGCCACCTTAGACGGGATCTGTACAGGGACGTCAAGTCCGAGACGGGTGGCTACTTGCGGCAAGGCCTGCTCGCGGTGCTCGACGGCCCGCTCAACTACGACGCGCAGTGCGTCCACGAAGCCATCGACGGCCTAGGCACCAAGGAGTGGCTACTCGACGACGTGCTTCTTGGTCGATCCAACGCCGACATCGCCGCCATCAGGAACGCATACCAGCAGATCTACCGCCGCTCGATAGAGAAGGACGTCGAAGGCGACCTGTCCTTCAAGACGTCGACCCTGTTCGCGGACGTGCTGCGCGCCACCCGCCACGAGGAGGGCGCCCACATCGACCCCCACACCATCGAATCCGAGGTCAAGACGCTCCACGACGCCATGAACGGCCGCGTGATCAACAACATCCAGGAGGTCTGCGGCATCCTGGCCCGGTCCTCCGACAACGAGATCCGCGCCATCAACCAGGCCTACACCGCGCGGTACAACACCCCGCTGGAGAAGGCCCTCACCAAGGAATTCTCGGGCCACATGCAGGACGCCCTGCTGCAGATGCTCCGGACCGCCACCGACCCCGCCATGCGCGACGCCGACCTCCTCGAGGACTGCATGAAGGGCATGGGCACCAAGGACGAAAAGCTGGTGACCCGAGTCGTGCGTGTGCACTGGAACCGCCACCATCTGGACCAGGTGAAGCGCGCCTACCAGCACAAGTACAAGAAGAGTTTGCTCGATAGAGTCCGCGGTGAAACGGGTGGAGATTACCAGAAGTTAATGCTTGCTCTGCTGGAGTAATTCTTTCTCTTCTCCCTTCACTTTATATCTTCCTGGTTGTTGGCTTTCTCTTCTTCGCTTCTTGTGGATATTTTTTTTTAATTTTTAGTCGTTCTGGCTTCTCCTTCCTTCTCCCTCAGACATTCTGAGACCTTCCTCCATGATATGGCTTCCTTGATACCCCTCAAAATGGAACTGAAGTTGGGACGGCCTGTTTCCATCCCTTTCCTAATCCCCTTTATTCTTCCTGCCCTTCCTTTTCTGTTATGTTATGTTATGGTTACTGAAGAAGCCTGTACGAATATTGTTATGCAGATGCAGTGTTCCAGTATGATAATATTAATTTGCTTTCCAAGAACATAAAGAAATAAACGTAATGTGAAGTAAGAGAAAAACATAATCCATGCAAGTCATCCAGCTCATCTCATCTCGTAAAATCATTGGCATCATCGTAAATCTCATAGAAAGAACATGATGGTAGAGTACATCAATCAACTGATTTGATTCGATCATTGGTTTGATATGAACGAAGTAAGAGATAAGAAAAGAAAAGAAGACAAACAGACGTCTCATCATATGCGAACAATCAATCGATCAATCAACCAGTCATCAAGAGAAAGAAGAAAATGGTCATAAACCGAAACAGTTCACCTAACGTAAAGAATAAAAAGAAAGACGGAGGAAAGGAATCAAAAAAAAGAAAAAAAAAAAAATAGTAAACCATCAGTAGGCACTTTCGCAACCACTCAAAAGTCAACTAAGCCACCTCCCCCATAACAGAAACATGCGATCCAGGGAACAACCCCGTGATCCCGGCGTAGCAACCCCAGAACCAATCGTCGTTGATATTCTCCGCCTCTGTGATCTCCGCTCCCCGCGGGAACATCAGTTCGTCTTTGACCCCGTCTTCTGGATACCAGGGCCAGGTGGCGAGGACGACAAGCCCGACGCCGCCGTCGGGGGGGAAGCGGCGGGAGGATGATGGTGATTTGTTGCTGTTGCTTATGCTGCTGTTTCCCTGGGCGGTGGGGGTGACAGGGGTGCCTGGTTCGGAGGCGGAGTTGTAGTTATCGTTGTTGCCGTTCGGGGGGTAGTTGGACCGGTGAAGGAGGTCAGTGGGATTTCGCGCGCGGGACGCTTTCTTGCGTCTCTCGGAGCCCTCTTTCCAGCTCCAGTCGCCTTTGCCGAGCTCCGGGGAGGGTACTGAGTTGGGGCCGGTGGGGATTGTTAGAAAGGAGTGGTGGGTTGGGGATGATGATGATTGGGAGGAGCGGTGTTGGTGGACGTGTTCGTCTTTTAGGGCTCGGCCGCCGACGAGATCGCGGACTATCACCCGTCGTTGGCCCTCCTCGAAGTCTTCGAATCCTATCACTACCATCCGGTGGCCTCTGAAGCAGCGGCGCCAGCCGTTGTGGCCGTTTTCTTTGTGGATCTTGCCCGAAGCTACAAACTTGAGGTAGCAGTTTGCGCAGATGTCGTAGTCGCCGCTGTTGCAGCGGAGACAGTGGAAGCGGAGAGTCGAGGCTGGGATGGGGTTTGAGCACATGTCGCAATTGGTTGAGAAGGAGAGGATCTTGTAGGCTTCTGTTCCTGGAGCAACAGCAACGGGGCTGCCCAAGGCGTCAGATGTCGCGCTTGGGACGGCCGATGGTGTCGATGGGTCGGAGTGGTTGCCAGCTGATGACATGCGACAGACGGGAAGAAGTGCGTGCGTACAGCATCGTCCCTGATTGACGCACTTGTTGCAGAAGCCCCAGTCCCCTTCGTTGCACTGGCCACATTTCCAGAAGCAGCCGTTCGATGGGGAGCGGCAGATGTCGCAAAAGAGTCCGGTCTGCATCCTACGAGCGGGGTCGTCGTTGGTCACCTCTTTGCCATCCCTTGTCGTGCGCTGTGCGGAAGCTGACGGTGGACGGTATTTGAAAGACAGCAGCATATGTTGAGAAGCGCACGGGGGTGTTGGTTGGCCGTTCGCTGAAGCACGAATCCCCTCGAAGTCTGCACTTGCTGACGCCCCGAAACCCATCCAGTTTAGACAGCCACGTCCCAGGCGATAGCACCGCAGACATAGATGGAAGTTACCATCGTTGCATCGTGTGCACTTCTTGTGGAGGTCATATTGGATGTTTTGTTTTCCGCATCGGTCGCATGAGATTGATGGCTCAGTATAGGATGCAGAACGCAGAGCGTTGGACCGAGATGATGACGGCCTGGGGCGTGGTTCCTGTCGCACCGGACCACCCACCTCGGGAGCCAGAGAGCTAGTTGTAGAGGCATTTGCCATGATTTGCTCGACCCGTGTAGGGAAAGAGGCGGTCTGTGGGCTCTCAGTGGGTGTTGCAACTGCGTGAGGCGAGTCTATTGAGGGTCTATTTCGGGTATGCCGCAGATCACGGTCACTAGATCCTCCCGCCCAAGGATTTGGAGCACCTTGCTCGGATGCTGTAGCACGTCGTGGTCGCGGGGCAGTTGCATCCGTCAGGCTTGGTCGGGCAGAGTGAGAGCCGTGGGGGCGATCAGCAACCATGTCGCTGGAGGATCTGGCCGCCGGTCGTAGAGCAACATCGGAAGAAGATGCCGGGTTGACTGGCACGGGCGATGTCCTGCGGCGGCCATGACCTTGGTCAGATAGTCGCCGCTGGTGACCACTTGACCCAGACCGGGATACTAATGGTTCCAACAAGTGCGGCCTAGAAACCGGGGGGTTGCGTGGTGACTCCCGGGGGCTCGTGACGGTCGGTCTCCGCTCTGATTGCGATTGTGCGCGCAAACGGGTAGTCGCCCTTGGCGGTTCACTGTCTTCCTGTCTCTGTTGAGACCGCGATCGAAGTCTATGCCGCCGACGGTACGCATCAGCGATGCGTTCGCTCAACTCTTCCTCTTGTGAAGGACCTAAGTTCTCCAAGTCGATATCTTCCAATAGGCCTTCTTCGAATATCTGTCGCAGAATCTCCTCTTCCATGGTCTCCGTATCCGATAAGCTCAGTAACGATCGAATACTCGACTGATGCTCGATTCTTCTTGCGTTGTTCGAGGAAATATCCGGACGATTGGCCGATCGCCCAGTTTGTCGCCCTGCTAACCTCTCTTCTCTCCGTCGTCGAGACCGGTCTTCTCTTTGCCCATCTCTTCCCACACTCTCCGGTACCCGACTCCTTGATGACGGTGCACTAGGGCTACTTCTCCTCGACCGGTTTTCTCGTAGACTCAGTTCTTGGACCTCCTGGAGCAACCGTCGGTCTTCGTTGTCCGAGGCACTCGGTGCCTGTTCTGAAGCATCCACCGGAAATACAGAATCGCCATGTTTATAATGCTGAGCGATTTCTTCCCTTTCTTCCAAAGGCTTGCTGCGATCCGGATTTGCCGCCAGGACCATGTCCAGCAGCGTCGTTATTTTTGCATTAGGCCGTGTTTCACGGACGATGGCGCGACATGACGGACAGGTAAATCGGGGAGAGGATCGGCGGCGCGACGCTTGGGCCTTGAACCATTCTTTCAGACAGGAGCCACAAAAGATATGGAGACAGTCAAGGAGAGTGAGAGGTTGATAAAGTAGTTCGGTGCAGATCTGTGATACAAGCGGTGAAGTCAGCAAGAATCATGTAGCCTCTGTCGCAGTATGTTGCGTTCTTGACCATCTCTCATTTCCCAACAGATTTATATACTTTATGTATATATATATCATATGGACGATTTGCCTTTGAACTTTCCAAACCGAAACAAGGACCCAAGGGAAAGTATCGCGGGGAGCCAATCCTTCACGAACGGACGTCCCCACGTTCATCCGCCCGATCGGAAAATTAGGGAAACGTCAGGCACATACCGAGCAGGTGAGTTCTTTCTCCAGGTCGCCCAGACCAGGACCACTCTGTAATTCAGACCCCATGAGGAGTTAAAAGGTTGATGGTTACCGTGGGCGAACACAGACGAAGATGCAGGCGAGGTGGCAAGCCTGGTGCAGGAGGTCAAAGGGCGAGTACCAGTAGGAAGTACGGAGTAAACAGCGGAGAGAGTCGGTGGGTTCCATGGGGGTCGATTCGATCTCACGCTACGGCCCCACCTGGGTGCATCATTCCGAGGCTCTTCTTGACGATTTCTCCCAACACGTTGGCTTTCTCATTCTTATTGTCATCAAACAAGATATTCTTTGACTTGAACCATCTGTTACACGTGGTATTGAGTCAGAGTTGATTGATATTACTTGTCGGCATGTCTAGTGGAACAAATGATATTGAGACGCTGGCTCGACTGTATGACCTCATACTCCTGGATCTCACACACTAGTTCCTTGAATTGTCGCTGGCTCGTGTCCTCGATTTCGGACCTCATAAACTGGTATGCCCCATCGGTACCTGGTTTAGATCAACAAATCCCCCTCTTAATCTTATTCCAGTATATCAACGACAACTTTGGAAAAGTTATAGGGCGACAAAATCAAAGGAAGGCATCCCTGTTTCACTAAGACGTGCGTAACAGTTCTCGGATAGAGTCATTGGGTATTACTCTCATGAGTATCTAAATTTGTCTCTTCTAGATCCTCGCAGGGCGCAGTAGTTGCACAACGGAAACGCTAGCGAAAGACTACCCTGCTCAGAGGCCATCGCGAGATCTTCACGGATCGAATGTGTAGCCCTATGGGAGACACTGGATTACTTCTATCTTTCTAGAGGCCTACCACATTTTGGCTGGATCATGAATGATGACGCCACGGGACAGCTGAACAAGTATTACTGGTTATGATTATGACAATTACACACTGGTGATACTCTTTTCACACCTATTACCGGGTCTCATGGCCTGATCTGCTGACTCCAGGTCGATGTGCCGATCGGGCGATCATGTTGGGATATCATCGAGTACTGCCGTCTAAATAACCTGTTTGTCTTGGAATATGTATAGTGGCTACCTGGGAACTGAACGAGTGTCTTGCAGATGTATCTTTGAAGATTTGATATCAAACAGTTGAACTGGGAAGAGAGCAATGGGCGACACAATTCCACCTGAGCCATAGATTTGGCTTCAGTTGCACCGGATCATTCGAAGTATCATTCCTCGCTAATCAAGCAAGCTTTCGTTCGTGCCACTATATTTCCTGGCCACTCCTACTAGTCTTTACTGAATCCTCATGCTTTGTTTGAGACAAATATCGAACATCACCATTCTGTAACAGTGAGATATCAATATAACAGCAGGACCAGCAACAATGACTCGCAGTTTTCCATAACCGGGATAAATGGCAACACACCTCCTTTTCTTTTCTTGTCTTTTCTTCTCTGGTTAGTCTGACTCACATTTTCAGCTCAAGAGCCTAGGATGAAGGTCTGTGGTCTTGATTGAAGCCAGAAGAGCCGCAGACACCATCCTCACTGTTTCAACTGGGATTGTGTCTCTTGTACTGATCAAATACGAGAGTAGTGTAACCTGGTTCTCCATCTTGATACCAATGCGTTGGGATAATAGAAATATAGGCTTGGATGATCTTGGGCGCACGCTCCCAAAGGGAATTCCCACTAGGCCTATAGTGTAAGTGACAACTGGACAATGTCTCCCAATGTATTTTTGGATGAAATCTCCGTTATCTGGCGCATCCCGTTCAATTTCCCTGACTGTCATTTATATATATTGCAATGCCCTTGGAAAAAGGAGTGATCATCATTTCAGAGGCAAAAAGATATCGATAAGCTCCGTTGATAGACGGGATCATACAGTATGATGAAAGAAGTTCTATATGGACTGATTAGTTAGCAAAACAGGGCGATCCTTGATATCAAGCGTTCCAAAGTCATAGTTCAAGGTGTTCTCAGTTGCTGTTCATCGGCCGGACGCGATGGAAGATGCTTCTGATTATGTAACAGCCCTAACCTTTTCTTCAACACACACAATCGATGGCTTTGTTATTCCTTTTCCAATCTTGTCAGATGCTAGCCGATTGCGATTGATTACTCCAAGAAGTTGACAACGAGAATCAGCGTTGCCAGAAGACCTCCGCGGAAAGAGTGGGGCATCTAGAACTAAGTGAAGACGAATCATACCCTAGTGTATACAGACCCACTTGCAGCATATCAGCCAGCACGTGACGCGGAGATAAGTTTTTTTTTTTTTTTTTTTTTTTTTATAACTCAACAACCAACAACCTCACTCCGCGCAAACCATACTACAAAATCCAGCTTCGTATTGATTGAATATACGTCGGGATCTTCACCGATCTCTTGTATTCAGCATACGGATTTGCCTTTTCCAAAATGGCCCCAAACACGAAACGGCGCAAAGTTGAAGACGATGCTTCGTCCGACTCCGGCTCGGACGCTTCTGCTTCTCCCTCTCCCGAACCTCAGCCCCAAGCGGATAATGGCAACGAAGTGAAGACATTCAGCGAACTCGGCATTATCGAACAGTTGTGCGATGCATGCACAGCCCTTGGATACACCAAACCCACGCCCATCCAAGCGCAGGCAATCCCGACCGCGTTAGAAGGGCGAGACATCATCGGACTGGCAGAAACCGGTAGCGGCAAGACAGCAGCCTTCGTTCTCCCGATCCTCCAAACCCTCATGGAAGCCCCCCAGGCCTTCCACTCGCTCATCCTGGCCCCGACCCGTGAACTTGCCCAGCAAACCGCGCAAGCCGTTGAGGCTCTCGGCTCCCTGATCTCGGTACGATGCACACTGTTAATCGGAGGCGTGGACATGGTGTCGCAGTCGATCTCGCTCGGAAAGAAACCACATGTCATCGTCGCCACGCCGGGTCGTCTGCTCGACCACATGGAAAACACAAAGGGATTCTCGCTGCGACAGCTGAAGTTCCTCGTCTTGGACGAGGCCGACCGTCTCTTGGACCTGGACTTCGGGCCCATCCTCGACAAAATCCTCAAGATCATCCCGAAGCCCAACCGTCAGACCTACCTCTTCTCCGCGACCATGTCCAGCAAGGTCGAGTCGCTGCAGCGCGCGTCGCTGACGAACCCCGTGCGGATCTCCATCTCCAGCAAGAACCAGACGGTGTCGACGCTCGTGCAGTCGTACGTGTTCATGCCGCACAAGTTCAAGGACCTCTACCTCATCCACATCCTCAACGAGCACGCGGGCCAGACAGGCGTGATCTTCACGCGCACCATTCACGAGACCCAGCGTCTGACGTTCATGCTGCGCAACCTCGGCTACGGCAGCATCCCCATCCACGGACAGCTGTCGCAGAGTGCGCGTCTGGCGTCCATCACCAAGTTCCGCGCCCGTGCGCGCAACCTGCTCGTCGCGACGGACGTCGCAGCGCGCGGTCTCGATATCCCCTCCGTCGACTTCGTTCTCAACTACGACCTGCCGCAGGACAGCCAGACGTACATTCACCGCGTGGGGCGGACAGCGCGAGCGGGACGGAGCGGGCTGGCCCTCTCCCTGGTCACGCAGTATGACGTAGAGGTGTGGCTGCGGATCGAGAAGGCGCTGGGCAAGAAGCAGGATGAGATGAAGATCGACAAGGACGAGGCGATGGTGTTTGCGGAGCGGGTCGGCGAGGCGCAAAAGGCTGCTGCGATCGAGATGCGCGATCTCCAGGAGAGGGGCGGGAGGGGGCAGATGCGGGTCCCCAGGGGGGGCAAGAGGTCTAGGGAGGATATGGACCAGGACCGGGGTTAAGGGTTTGAATGAAGAATAAGAAGAAAGCAAAAGTTTAAGCGGGACTTAATATGAATTGATACTTTATGTTAGATGTCGACTTTTGGATCTCCATACAGAATGCCATGTATGATTACGAGGTACGAGTTCCATGAGTATTAACCTCCCCATCTTACATCGAGGCAGAGCTGTTGTAGCATATACGGCATGGAAAGGCTTTCTGCTTTAGGTCTATCATCTGTAGACTCGAATGGCAGAGGAGTGATCCCCACTACCTGCGTACGTACGGACGGGGAAGAGCATACGAATGGAAGGATTCTTCTAGAAGCACTCGAACTGTCCAACGCTAGAAATAGACCCAGCCTCCCTTTCCGTTGGCATAAGGTGAAAGTCATGCGCATGTGGGATGCTTCGACGGAAGAAGAAATGGAGAGAATAATCATGATCAGTGAAGCGAAGCCTGATGGCCTGAATCCGATCTCCTATAAATCCCCCCCACCTCGGTTTCTTCTCCCGCCGTCCCTCACTCCTTCAGTCTTGCTCTTGCTATGCTCAGTATCTCTCCTCGTAAGGCAACATCGTATACATAGCTGAAAGTAGAATATTGGAAGCCTTGAAGGGACGATATTGACCAAACTCGATGCATTGTCTGTTTGGAGAACGTTCACTTGTATAAGCGAGATCGTAGGCCTTGATGCGCTGTTATCGAGATTGCATCTGATGCATGGTAGGGAGGGATCTTTGCGTCTTTCGTTGAGAGGATGGTAGGCAATGCTGCTCATATGATGATTGTTAATTAGCATTCTCTACTGCTTGTTTATCAGAGTTTAGGAAAGAGGAGAGGGTACATCTCAATTGTTCTCATGAGGTATATCTTCTATCTCGAATGCGAAACTCATATCTTCTGCTTAGGAAGAGACGCCGTAAATATAGACGGGACCATGTTGCACGTGTTGATCTTGGGGATGGACTATGGTATTCTCGATGGAGATAATGTCAAGAGACACGAGCTCTTCACAGCCAGTAGGCTGTGGTTGGCTTTGACAAGAAGGGGAAACATTTTGTAAACCGCTGTCGAGTACTGCAATAGCCTTTTAAGCTATCATCGTTAGCTATCACTGCGTTGCAGATATCTGAAGATCAACCGATTCGCATCAGATCAGCGACAACGTCGAGTTTAGGGGCACAAGGAAGAGAAAGGTTTGCGAGCCATTTGAAATGAGACAACAAAGAACACACGGATGAAACTTGAAGTACTCGAGGAAGAACAAACATTGGACATTTGACCGTTGAGAGCGCCGTCGAGTCTAAATGTAACGATCTTATGATATCCGCGATATAACCTCCATCTCTTACAGAACGAGCCGACCAACTGTCGTTATCCTGAAATCCAATCTCCGTGCAGGATGCATGCATAGGCGTCAGGTGGTATCATATCATTCCTCGACTCGCATGTCTAATTGCATGACGATTGACGTATGTTGCAGTCGAGAATTTCCTAGGTACGTTATCAACCAGTGACGAACACTAGAGCCCTGCATACCAAATCCATCAAAGAAAGGCCGCCATATTCCTGCAAAATGCTACTGCAAAATGCAGACTGAAAACCAATGTCAACTAGAACACATCAATCAAACCCGGTCAGACGCAGTCCATGGAACAACTGCATGCAAGTTTGCTATGCACATGACTGACGCGCAAGCAGCGTTTTACACACATACAACGGCGGAAAGCGCGATATCAAAATATACCTAGTAAGTAGCAGATACTGGCAGTCCGAGCTGCAAGAGCACTTTTCAATATGGTCGAGAGTACGGATTAGAAGGGTAGACATCAGCTGATGAGCACGGTACTGGATCCACTTGGCTGATGGATTGCAATCCGTCCACATTTCCTGTCACTATCCCAATACCAGGTAGTTACAGGCTGCAGTGCAACAGTCCACTGCGGAGTCATACGCGCCACTCTCACCACTGCCTGGTCCGAGCGTATCTGGCCTCGTACGAGTCCAACACCGAGGCAGCGTCAGACTCCGCTCAAGCCACCGGAAACTACACTGGTGCGGAGATAACGAAGCCGAGAAAGGGGGAAAGGCAGACTTCGTAACCTCTGAGTTGGCATGCGCCAGGACAAGGAAGTGGATATGCACCCCGCATCCCGCAAAAGTTGTTGCTTGGCAGCATTCTCTCTTACCTCTCTTTCTTCTTTTCATCTCTTCGAATGTTTATCCCCACATGGGTGGATGGGATGAATTAATGTGTTAGCCGCCATGTCACACCCCTTACTCATCAAAGCTTACACATCTGTAACACCGACAAACGAAGCAATCCATTTTAGATGACTGTCACTGTCTGAGGTTGTGTCGTACAGCCCACTACTAACAAAGTAGACACAGGCACCAGCTGAAGATATCCAACTAGTACCTGTCTAACAAGCCTAGCCATCGAGCTCCAGCTCCAGCTTCAGTTCCGCTTCCGCACCCGCAACGTCGAGCTTATCCACGCGAAAGAGAGGGGGGAAAACAAACCCCGGAACGAATGAGCATCTGCGGAACGGCCAAAGTGTCAGTTGACAGGACGGCTGTGGCTTGTGGCTGTCCGTGCAGAGACAATCTCCCGGTCCAGTAGGTGATAATCGCGGGCGGCCCTGGCCGTTTGGCGCTGGAGCTGTGGAGGTGATGGCGCTGTTTCGATTGCTGTTATACTGCGGGGAAAGGAAGGGGGTGATGGTCTGGTCTGGTCTGGGCTGTTGGGGTGGTGGTTTTGGTGGTGGTTTTGAGGTTGGGGGAACGTGCATGCTTGTGTTTTGATGGTGCGGGGTGCCTTGGGAGGGAGCCCTGGGCTTGGATTCTGGGAGTAGAATACCTTGTTAGGTGTCATGTGCTGGTACAGGGTACGGGGTGAGTGATAGTCAGCATGAGATGGATAGGAGGTCGGAGTTTGAGGTGAGTAGGGGATATGGAGAATGTGGGGTCAGTACATCCATCCATGCATCAAGTATTCATAATCGTACGAGACAATGGCGCGTACAACTGACGTGATCCGTGGAACACACAAGTATCTTGATATCAAAGCTGGTCCACAAGTGCGGTGTAGATGTGTAGTGACTTAGATAGATACTGTCCCTGACGACTCGAGTTCAGAGCGTCAAATGTATCAAAACCACGAGCGATACCACTGATTGGGCATAATCTAAAAGCAATGTACGGTGATCCGGTTGATCCGCACAATATCCAGTCCACTGCACATAGTTTCTAAAACCGATTTAGTAAACGACCCGGAAGCCGGCACTGCACTGCATACTATGCACCCCGTCAACGACAATCAAAACAGACGGCCCTAATCTATCCTCCGTCGCCGAAACACGGCGTCCCCCACGCCAAGCCCAGTACCTATCTTCCTATCTTCCAAGATGGCAAAAGAAGGGGTCCGCCCCCTTCCATTGCAACACCCAGCCAACTTGGCACCCACCTAGTCTGAGGTAGTGTCTTGGAGCTTTGACCCCATCCTACTGCATGAAAAGGGACGGTTCGCGCGCTAAGGAATTGTGTAAGCCCCCCCAACAGGGCCCCCACCAACCACCTGAGCTGCTCTCGCCTGTTCTAGGCCACAGCAAGGTTTTTTTTATCGCTGTGGAGGTTTGGACGATCTTGATTGCGTGGATTTGGAGCGATTGGGGTTGGGAGTGCTTCACCTTGACTGTAGAAGGGTTTGGATATGGTAATGCCTGATAGACTCGCAATTACTTGTCGTACTAACAGGGGCTTGTTGCATTGATGATTCGGTATCAAATGCTTTCTACGGGGCGATTGTCTCGATTATTTTTGAGTGTCAGACCAGGGGCATAGGCCATAAAAATATACTAAAGACACCCGTTATGATACCCCGAGGTTTATACAGAATCCCTGAAGGTATACTCCTTGTCATTAAAGCCAGCTTTGGCAGCCCGAACAAATCGCCATGGAGATGCAATCCGGGGCGGTTGTCTTCCGAGGACAAGGCTTGAAGATGGCGGAAAACCATGCAGCTAATGTCCAAGTAAATGGCGGAGACCGATGCAACGAAGCCCGTGGCATCGGTTGGAGAATCCCCGGCTTTCTCTGCGGTCCAAGCAGGAGTTCCCATTTGCAGTGACCTGTAAATCATTTGAACACAGACCTAGATCTCACATGTATGTGATACGAACAAATTGTTCCCCACGGGGTCAAACCATATTTTCATCGGTGCGTGGCACCCGTATCAGTACCAGTGCGATAGACAACTTTGCGGGGCATACAAGGGATCTCGACGCCCAGCGGGGGGGATCATCAACGCTTTGATTGAGCACGGATACCCTCAACTTCCGTCCACATGGATTACAAGGCGTGTCGCATTGCACGCCCAGAAGATCAGTACCATGTACTAGGCGATATCTCCACTCTCACCAACAATAATGTAGTGTTTCGAGCGCACGCACTCCAGACATGCTCCATCAAAAGTGGGTATCAAAGGTGGGTCAATCTCGTGCCCGAGGCTCCCAGGCAGCACGCATTATCGCGCATCTCCACAGGCCGTCCTTCAGCCATGATAAACAACGGTCACGACAAGGCATGCATCCAGACTCTTGGCTACCTGTATCAGTGTGGTCTGAGCTGACATGAGCGAAAGTTAAACCTAAGGAAAGTTAAGCAGAGAGAGAAGAAACGTCAAGGTTCCGAAAGAGGGAAATCCGAACGAAGGCCCGGGCGAGAACGTGCCTACTACAGTCGTCACTTCCAGGCCGCAGAGACCCTAGCCTTGACCCTCGTCGAAAAGACCTGCCCGGGCGCTTGGTCTTTGTTCGTCGTTAATATATCTCTGGTATATTCGTGTTTTGGGTAGGGGTTGGAGGTTTGGATGGGGATTCTAGCAGAAACTGTATCAGCTCGAAGCATGTTCAACAAGGTAACTATGTATGATGGCGTGATAGCCCCTACCTAGGGGCAAAGGAATAGATTCGTTACCATGAAACATAACGAGTATGTAAATCAAGGTATCCATCATAGTTGCAAGAATGATCAAACAACTCCCTCGCCGTTCCATATTATCGGCCTGGCACTGTAACGTAAGTCACAGGGAGGGGTGAGGGGGGCGAAAGAGAGAGGTGGGGAGCCCCAACACAAGTCGCGCAATACCCCCGATCCCATCCCACAGACCGTGGAGGCTTGTATCTGCAATAATGAGCTGCATTAAGCCACAGCCTCGAAAACTAACTAACACTCGACGGTCCTTGCGCAGGGGCGATCAGACGCTGGGGATTCGGTCGACGACACCCATCAATTGCCACCACAAACTCTTTATACGAACTACTGAGGATAAAGCATAACGAGCAATTCCCGAATCAAAGTGTCGTGGCGAATTGAGGACGACTTACTGGCCAAGCATGATGCAAGTGATACAGCGCGCAAGGGTGGGAGGTCTCAAGCGGTGTGTTGGGGATTGGCACGGACTGGTTGTGGGAGGATGGGAGGGGAGGTGGTATGTGCTCTGTACCTGATGGTCGAATATTGGACAGGGTCAGATATTGGAACAGGGTGGGACAGCTGGGAAGCGCCCAGACCATACTGATCGGGGATTCTGTGGAGGAGGAGAATTCTCGGTTAATTTGGTACATATGAGAGATGTAGCATCGATGGTGGAGAAGTCTATATGGATGTGTAAATGGTAACCCTAGAATAGGCTGCCACTGCATATCCCAGTGGATAGGAGGCGACAACCGTAGTGGATGCCCTGTTACAATTATCGCGAGGATATCTGCAGCGTTTGTTTGACTGAGCCATCTGTCACCCCTTAGATGTGCAATAGACCGCAAGTCAGTCTGTGTTAATTGATAGAGTCGTTATATTCAGTGTTGTGCAAGAGTATATGAAACAGCCAATGCAAGTATGCCGCACCGAGGAAAGGAACCAACAAAGAAGGGGGAGGGGAAGGAGAGAAAAGAGACCCACCAGTCAAGACATCGACCTCCAATTTTCCGGACCGCCGCTTGCTCATCAATTCCTATCCGAGCGATTCGGTTGGTCTTCAGCAAGGCAGAGATGCAGCAGGATTTTCAATTCTCCTGTGTCTGTGCCGCCCAGACTGATACTTTGACCACCAGGTAGCAATGCTAGTGGAACACATCTAGGTCAAACTAGGACATTGAAATCGACGACCTGAAGGCCGCCCGCCATTCAACCGGCCGACCATCTTTCCAATGGTGTCGAATAACCACATATCGCACTCGTAACCTGATGTCATATTTGCACGGTTCCAAGAAAGGTGGTGAGACACTAGCTCTTAGCGTCTTCCCTGTGTCCCCCAGTCAACTAGGAAACCGAGACTCCTGCTTTACTAGGGGACCCGCCGCACTGACCATGGCGACATCAAGAAAAAAAGAGGAAAGAAAAAAGAGAGAGACAAAGCAAGAAAGTCAAGCCACCATCTCCGATCAATAACCCGACTGGGCCCAGATGGGCATAATTGAATGACGATGCAACTAACGAAGCAGTCTTGAATACGATGCTAACCCTAGCTTTATCTCACCAATATCGCTTTTGGACGTTCGGTCAAGACGACTGACATGAATGAAAGAAGCCGAGAATCATGCCATGCCGGAAAGGGGCTCGTTCCCGGCTTGGATGCTACTGTTGATCAGCCATTTCCCGATCTTCGGTGACTTCTACAGTATTACTGCTTACCCCAACGGTGGTACAACGATAGTGCCAAGATGTCACGATGGGAGGGGCAGTATCTGAATTTTCGAGGAACCAGAATCATGTAAGGCTCGAAAAACAGAGCGCTAAACGTGATTAGACTGGGGGACGAAAATCAATACTCCTATTTGGGAGACCTGAATAATGGCGTGGTTCATCAAGTAGGCATCATTGAAGATCAAATGGACAAAGAACAAGGACCCTCAACCTTCCTCGATCGACAGTATCTAGACCCTTGGAGGATTGTCTTGGGGGAATTTGGTTGGGCGGTGGCAAACGGATAAAATGGACTAGTGGGAGCGACAGTGCGGCGCTGGCCGGGGGTGGATAGTGGGTAGTTGACTGGGTATCAGGTTTTTTTCTTGGAAGATCACCTCCCTGGTTTCATGGTTCAGATCCTCCCGAACAATACTATCTAAATATTCCCAACATTTACATAATATTTTACAATCCTTCCTCCGGATCTTTCCATGGATTAAAGAAATCGAAAGTATGCCGTCGGGTCCGATATCTCTTATCACGGAGATAACAATCCATTCCCTTGGAACACGGAGAGCATCGTGGCTGGGGTCGCCGACTTTATTCCTTCCCCCCCCTCAATGACATACTTTGAGAGTTCCAAGGAATTTAGCGTTCGACATCTGAGCTAAAAGACTGAAACTCCAAAAAATGCAGGTATGCCTTGTTTTGCTGACGTTCTGGCCTGGCACGGATCGATTATGCGGCCGACAACCGCCCCACCAGTCATAACCCTTGCGAGTTTGGTATTCAACAGATACAAGACCACCCAACGTGCATATCTCCAGGGTACTTGTTATGCACGATGTATGTATGTAGGTATGCACGCGCCCAGTTGATGGAGATGTTTCCATACAGATCACGGGTGACCTGCGACCGTGCTATTCGTAGCATGGACCAGAATACTCCGGACATGCAGCCCTGAAGATCACCTAGGTGCTCATCACCTGTTCTCCACCAACTACCAAGCCACGGATTAATCCGACAGAGGGGATGGTCGGGAAGAAGACACGGCACGGTCATCGGGAGGTTGATAAAAAATTGGATGACCGATGGGAACCCCCGAACAACGCACGTTGTTAAGAGAGTTCGAAAGGAATCGACGGAACCTACCCATCATCCCCCCAGGTTCCGGTCCGTCCTACATGACTGATGAATGGCCCCACCAGAGATAATCGGGAGGCGAATGGAGCAAAATAGCCGACCTGTAAGAGGAAAGGGATAAAGGTTGATAAAGTCATACAAGTGTTTCCACCCCACCGAGTGTCCATAGTATGTCCTCCTCCATATTGGAGGGGGGGAAGGACAGTGCACGCAACTCCCTCCCATACTGGTCGGGAGGGAGGCTTGGTTCCACTGTCCTAGACCGTTCGATCGCCTATTTAAAGTTGGTAAGTAAAGAAAAACTCAGGGTTGGTATTTACCACTAGCCATGGGTGTTGCTCCATTTAGACCTTCTGGTCCATCTGGTGCATCTCCAATGGAGGGACATTTAACCCTGGACCTTTTCCGGGTACGGCGGCAACTAGTATGTCAAAGCACGACTTATCATCGTGTCTAACGGTCATGACGGAAACATGGCTGAATCATACTTTTCTAGTGGTTTTTATTTTTATTTTTATTTTTATTTTTACTTTGATTTATATTTTTAATTTAGTTCAATTTAATTCAATTTAAGATAATTCAAATTTTTTTCTATTCTTCTTTATCACAACCATCGTTATCACCACTCATCATTAGGATTGTTATCATTCTTGATACTGGTTCTTGGGTAATGTGGGTAGCATTTCTATTGTCACGATCAATTATGTACTATCACCTCATCAGTATACTGGATACTGTATAGTAGTCTCTTGATCAGGTTGATTTATGCCTAGAGAGTAGTTGCTAGCGTTAAAAGAATCTACAATCCTGCAGGTGCTAAACAGAAATTTCTCATCCTTCTCTTTTCTCATGCAGCTTGGAGATCCGAGATTCCTTGCCTAGATTGCCCTGTTCGCGCCATTGATAATGCACTTCTAGTTCGCCCCTTCCTTTTTTTTTTTTTTCCCTTTCTTATCAGAGTAGAAACCCCCCCCATGCATTGCCTACATATCACCCCACCTCGCTCCACTGTCGGCCGGAAATCTTGTTTACTGGCATAGCTGCCTTCCATTGCATTGACCCTAGGTCTCCAGTCTAGTCTCCAGTTATATGCCATATCCCTCCTTCCCTCCGTGAAAGATCTATACGGACGGATCTTCCTTACTCACCTCTGTGTATAACTCTTCCTTTGTCGCTGATCTATCTTTCTTTCTTTTTCTGTTTATTATATTATATTTTTATTCTTTATTATTCATCTTCCTACACTCTTCTCCCCTCCCTACTACTCCGCCATTCATCTACTTGACTCTCTCATTCCCCTTCACACCATTGACTTTCTCTTGGTCAATGTCACAGCTTCACTAGATGTCCATCCTACAAGGTACGTTCCACACCACAGTTAGTTCCATCGGGACCACATCCTCTTCCATCAGTCACTGCCCGTACTTTCATTCATCGCGGAGTGCAAATTTTCGGCTTCAGACTCGATTCGCCCCCCTCCGTGTAACCTGTCGAGAATTCTCTATGCTGGTTGTCATACTTCTCTCATTTCTTCCAACCACTGTGGCGTCAAGTGTTCCTTCTATTTGATAATATCAGCGGCTCCCCACATCATACCACCCTTCTGGTCCTCTTGACAAATGCTCCAGGCTAGTTTGCTGACAGAAAAAAAATAAGTCTTCACACATCGGAGCAACATCTACGGATTGCTCGTCATTTAGTCGCTTTGATTGATCCGAGAAGCAGTCTTGTCTTTGCCGCATCAAAACCACTTGCCCTTCCTCTCGAGAGTATTCCGGCCGGATGCCATACACAGCTCCGCTCAAGTTGTCGCCGCCCGTGCAGCACATTGAAGCTTGCAAACCGTCCTCCCAGTCCTGGCCAGGGTCGCCCACCGTGGATTCCAAACACTCCCGGCTCCATCTCCCTCGCTCTTACTCCTCCACCGCCTATCTGCGGAAACACCGGAGAAGTCCGTCTCACAGTAAGGTACTGACTTCCCCCGATCACGCCATCAATCATGGAGTCGACTCTCTATCAAGCATCCGGCAGTCCCCGCCGCCGATAACGGATGCTTCCATGCCCCCCGGTGCCTTGATGTCGCCCCCGGAATCTCCAGCGAACTCGAGTGATGAGGAGCCCGCGTCCCCTCGTCAACAGAAGGTCCAGATGAAGGAGCTCAAGGAGGCAGTGAGGTCGATTGAACAGAGACGGGTCCCCTCCCCGGAGAGAGAGCCACAGCAAATCAACCCGTCGTCGAACACGATGGCAACCCCAAATGACACCAGGAGCCCCTCTCACCCGCCCCTCTCAAGGGAAGCCCGCAAGATCTCTCACTCGAGGTCCGTCACGGAGACGTCTATCGTCCATCACCAAGAACAAGCGGTGACCAGCTCGCCGGAGGATAGCGAGAGGGAGGATGAGCCTCGAGTGAAGCAGCCAATGCTACGCAAGAAGTCAGGAGAGCTCGTGAGACCAGCATTACGCACACCTTCTTCCCTACGGCGTCCGTCGAGCATGCCCGGGACACCGACCTTCTCGAAAGCTGTCCATTTCGATGCTCAGCTCGAACACATCCGCCATTTCTTGCAACTCGACAAGCCGCAAGCCGTCAGTGCAAACACGTCCCCCATCGAGGAATATCAAACCGACGAGTTCCCTTTCCCAACCAAAGCCCCACGGGGGCCGTCGTTCGAATGGGAATTGCGGCTGGAGAACTTCCCCACCGATCAGTCTTCCCGAGCTCTGCAGCGGGTTCGACTAGAACGTCTTTTCCTTTCGTCAGACAAGACCACCCTGGTTGGTGTGGTGGCCGTGGCCAACCTGGCCTTCGAAAAGCACGTCGCCGCGCGCTTCACTTTTGACCACTGGAGGACCATCTCCGAGGTGACTGCAGAGTTTAACGACGATGTACGTCGAAAGAGGGTTCAAGACGGATATGACCGGTTCTCCTTCGGTATCAAGCTAAACGATCAAACGCACCTGGAACACAAGACGTTGTTCATCTGTGTTCGATACAATGTCTCTGGCCAAGAGCTCTGGGACAACAATGACCACAAGAACTACCAGGTGAACTTTGCTCGCGTGGCGAAGGATTCAAATGTCTCCCAGGGCCTTCCAGTTGCGCGGCCTCGCCCATCACTTCCGCGAAGCAAAACGTTTACCGGCTCTGGCAATCGCCACTCCGCCCCTTCGACATTCGATGACTTGTCCAAGGATGGCTACTTCTCGTTTGGTGAACCGCCGCAGAATAAAACCAACGTCTTGGACGAGGTGGTGCGCGATACCGACGTAGTCACGCCCATTCGGCGCGAAAAACCGGGATCTCAGGCGTTCAGCAACCGCTATGACTTTGGAGCATCTTTGACTGCTGCGATGCGAACGAAGCCGGTTCATGATCGCACAACATTAACCACACGAGCAAAGTCCGCAGGACCCTCTGATACGGGGGCACATGATCCCGTTCGGGCGCCAGGTCGGGTCCTCGACAAAGCCTTGCCAGTCAACAAGGTGAACCAAGAGGTTGCCCGCCCAGAGCCTGTGCAGCCTTCCTCTCTTCTATCCAGCAAACCCCACCATGAATCGTCGGTGTATAAAGAGCTCGTGGATCGATATTGTTTCTACGGCTCCCCAGAATACACATCAGGTGGCACCCAGCCGGTTCCCTTCCACGCCAATGACTCCCTGCGGCAGAAAAGAAAAGACATCCCCAGTTCCCCCAGCATCTCATCCCACTCTTCGGCGTCCTCGTCTCCAAATCACTCTCCGTCCATGGATGTCACTCATCGGGTCCCCACTTTATCCTCTCCGAAGCCGTTCGAGTACCGATATCCGCAAAACAACTTCATGAAAGAAGCACATACACCGACTGTCATTCGAGGATAGATGACCCCATTTTCCGCGTGACTGCAGCTTCAACATGTTGCATTTGTGTTTACTGTTTTATTATCATCTTTTGTCCGCATTGTGATCTTTCTGGTCTTCTAGGCGCAGTGATGGCGGCCAGCACACGAAACCTCTTCCATCGTCTGCGTTGTGTTTTCCCTTTCTTTTCATGTTCATGCCCTTCCCCCAGACATGATGCTATGGATGGCAATCCTACGCGATGTATCATAAACCGCGAGGAACACCCATTCAGGGCTTATTCTGGTTTGTTGGGTTGTGACGAGGTAACGGCTGATAAAACGTTTTTGTTCCTTTCTTCTTGTTTTCTTTTTTTCTCAAGTTCAAAAATTCCTGATGATATGACGATGTTGCTCTGTGAAATTATTTGCTGGACCTTGGCCATTGCCATTCCGACAGTACTACGTGGATCCATTTCCAAACTAAGCAAAAAACACCTCTCACTCTGCTTTCTGTTTCGACTGTTTTCTGTTGTATTCTGTATGGCGCATGCATGGAAGGATTGACTGGGGGCTTTCGTCTTACCGGAGTTAAACAAATGTTTCTTGTGTTGTTCTACTTGATCATGGGGATTGGTATGATAATGGGAGGCAGAGAGAATGCCAGATTTTAATACATGGGTGCATGCCACAATTAGCACTGATAAAGGCTTCGACACTACCTAGTCTGTACATTGTTAGTGTAGCGCAATCCTAATGACGTACGGTCATGAACATTCCTGATGATCGGTGGACGGCAGGTGGATAATCTACATCAAAAAACACTCATAGTAGAATACAGTAACGAAGCACGTAGCATGAGAAACGGGAAGATATCCGCTGCCAAGACCACGTGACCAGCGACCCGTCCGACACGGAAGATCCGGGGCCAAAAGGCCCAGCAGGAGCACTCCCGCGCACCCGCCAAAACACCGCCTCGAAAGCGGTCGTTCATAACGCCCTTTTTCCCAGCCCTGGCCCGCCAATCAGCATGCAACATTGCTTTAATGACCCTTCCAGATCACTTTACGGCTTAGTCACTCAGTCAGGAAAAGGCAAGTAAATTTCATTGCTCCTGCCTGCCCGCCCGCCCTTCTAAAAACCTATTTAAAGCATTTGCCCCTCTCCCATCGTCCACTCTGCTGCTCTTCTTTTTCTCCCCTTGCAACCTCTTTTATCTGGGCACGCGTCAACCTACAACTTCTCGCCGTCCATCTTCCGATCATCGGCTTTTTCATCAAATTTTATCAACTGCTTGATCGTCGAATTTACATTTATTATTTGACAAGATGACTGGACGTAAGTATTTTTCTGTTTCTGTCTGTTCCTGATTGATGATGGGGTTGATGATGGGGATGATGCGCGGGATGAGGTGAGGATGGTGATGGTGTTGTACCGGGGTCGCACGTGACCCCGTGTGTCCGCCTCGCGTCCGCGTGTCGTGATCCTCTCATCCTGTCCCATCCTCACCCATCCTTACCTGTCTCTATTATCAATGGATATGATAACCATCCTGGCTCAATGTTGGCCATATTTTTAATAGACTAATGCTAACATCATCGTCTACAGGTGGAAAAGGCGGCAAAGGTCTCGGCAAAGGCGGCGCCAAGCGTCACCGTAAGATCTTGCGAGACAACATCCAGGGTATCACCAAGCCCGCCATCCGTCGTCTCGCTCGCCGTGGTGGTGTCAAGCGTATCTCGGCCATGATCTACGAGGAGACCCGCGGTGTCCTCAAGTCCTTCCTCGAGTCTGTCATCCGTGACGCCGTCACCTACACCGAGCACGCCAAGCGCAAGACTGTCACCTCCCTCGACGTGGTCTACGCCCTCAAGCGCCAGGGCCGTACCCTGTACGGCTTCGGTGGTTAAATCGTCGTCGATGTCTTGCTCTTTATCTTTGTTCGGTTGGGCTCGTCGCTCTGATGGATTGTCTACGGGGCGGGTCCGCTGGACCGGGCTTTAGCGCTATGATGTGATGCTGCTTATCGTTTTTTCTTGTCTACTTGCTTAATGAGGGTTTTTCTTACCAACTGGGTACGGGGTTCGGAATGGTTCTTTTTTACGGATGAACAGCACATCTGCTATGGATTCTTAGGGATTCTTTCGGAGGTCTTTGATGGAATTTCTTGGTATCAATACATTTGTTCTAGCTTCAGCTAGCTTCTAAATTCAGCAGATGCTGCCAAATACTACTTTCAATATAGTGTAGAGTTGTAGATGAGATCGTGGCGATAAGATGGCCTGATGGAGCCGTCACATGCAGCAACCGGTTGAAGCACGGACCACCGCAGGCCATGACGTTATCCTTCTCGACGCTCGATCAACCTCGGCCGACCTGGTCAGCACATCATATTGGCGAATTCCTGCTCTAGCTCTTTGATCTCTCGGTCTAAACCCAGCTTTAATTTTCTCTCCCATCCTTATTTTGCCCAGTCATCTTCCTTAGTACTGTTTCCCCTTCATCCAACTCCCTTTGTCAAACTGTGTATAATAGTCCACCCTTTCAGGATCCTTGGCTGAGCGTCTTACGAGGAGACCGTCACCATGCCTGAATACCAAATCTCGTACGATTCAGAGCTGGTATGTACCTAGCTATCCAAACAAACATTTATCATCTCCCACAATAATAACCCTCTAACCACCCCGTTTATTGTAGGACACATACCAGCTCTACCACCGCTACGAAGAAACCCCCCCAAAAGACGACTGGCGCACAGCCGCCCTCCGAGGCCCCGCCCTCCCAGCCCTGGGAAACGCAACAGCAGGAGCCGTCGGCTCAGCAATCTCCAACCTCATCACCTACCCCCTCAGTCTCATCATCACGCGCCTCCAGACACAGAACCAGCGAGCCAAATCTAATAAGGAGGGGGAAGGGGACAACGACGATGAAGAGACATACACGGACGTCATCGATGCCGCGCGCAAAATTTACGCAAAAGAAGGTCTTGGAAGCTTGTACGCGGGTTTAGCCCAAGATACTTTCAAGACGGTAGCGGACTCGTTCCTCTTTTTCCTCGCTTATGGCTTCTTTCGAGATCGTCGCATTAGGGCCCGCTCCGGTGGTGCTGGTGACCGTCGCAGCAAGCGCGTTGTGTTACCCGTGCTGGACGAGCTGGCGATAGGGGTGTTAGCGGGTGCATTCGCGAAACTGTTCACAACGCCATTGGCGAATATCGTTGCGCGAAAGCAAACGACGCGGTCGAACGCGAGCACGAGGGAGATTGCGGCGCGGATTCGAGCGGAGAAGGGTATCCGCGGTTTCTGGTCGGGATACTCCGCGTCGTTGATTCTGACGCTTAACCCGTCCATCACGTTCTTTCTTAACGAGTTCCTGAAATACTCTGTGCTGCCTAAGAGTCGGCGTGGGAAGCCTACTCCCGCTATGGTCTTCTTCCTTGCTGCTATTAGCAAGGCTACTGCTTCGTCGGTGACGTATCCGTTCTCTATGGCGAAGACGCGCGCGCAGGCTACCTCCTCTAGCCAGCCGGCGCCCTCGCCGGGGAAGGACGAGAAAGAAGACGAAGGAATGTCGCTCGTCCCGCCAATTATCTCCAACGTGGTGACCATCGCACGGACGGAGGGCCTCACCGCGCTGTACAGCGGCCTCACGGGCGAAGTCGCCAAGGGGTTCTTCTCACACGGCTTCACCATGCTCGCTAAAGACGCCGTCTATGCCGCCATCGTGCAGAGCTACTACCTCCTGCTGATCGTGCTGCGCCGCTACCCCACGCCGGAGGAGCTGATCGAGCGCGCGCGCGAACAGGCGGAGGAGTGGGCTGAGGCTGCGCGCGAGGGCGCGAAGGACCTGGCGGGCTCGGCGAGACAGGGGGCGGGGGAGGCGCTGGCGAAGAGCTCGGGGAGTGTTGCCGTTGATATGTCGAGTGGTGGTGGAGCTGCGGGGGTGGGGTCGAATGAGACGGTTGAGATGGTGAGCGATTATGTGGAGGATGAGGCTGCTGAGTGGAAGGGGGGGTTGTATCGGTGGTTTTGGGAGAAGGGGACGGGGAAGGTTGGGAAGGAGTGATATGTTATGAGTGTGTTTTGGTGTGTGTGTATGTGTACTTGTGGATTATGTTGGATTGCTCTGCCTGTTGTTAGCATCTTCGTATAGTGTCTTCTAAATTGTTATTGTAATAAGGTATCAACGTTTATCATAGTATGTAATCTATTAGGGAGCGTTGCTTAGATGTATTCCACTGGCAAGATTGAGACTGGAGTGATATTCTCTCATGATCGCTACGCCAAATCGCTGACCGGCGTTTGGTATAGGGCTTAACCTGACTGATATCCCCAACATATCATATAGTGGACTCTACAGGACTTTAGATATTGTATACCAACAAGAGTAGACAGAGTAGGCCTGTCCAACAGTCACATCTCAAGTATACTGCAAGACACCCCACATAATCCATACATAAATCAAAACCAACAGCACATAAATCCCCAAACCAGCATACCCAAAGTAAACACCCAACACACAACCCAAACCCAAAAGACACACCAAATCCATAGCCCGGTACCTACTAGGAATCAACCAACCCCAACCTCCCAGCCCACCACCCCCACTCCCTCCTCGAGAGCGCAACAACATCATCCAGCCCCTGCAACACAGCCCTCTTCTGCTCCGCTGAAAGCACAATCCCCCTCCCACTACTCCTCGCACACAGATCATCAACGAGGGTGCTCGCATCCCTCACATCGCGCATCTTCTTCACCGCCGTCGGACGCAGCCCGCAGCTATTGATCTTGAAGACCAGCAGGTCGATCTCCGAGATATAGGGGAGGGAGTCGGGGCGGGCGAGTGATATGGGGATTGCGGCTTGGGGGAGGTAGGGGGACTATTTGCTTTATTAGATTTTCTTTCGGGATGTTTTTTTTTTGTGGTGTGTGGGACACTGTTGACAATGTGATTTGGTAGATGGAGGAAATTATGCAATGTAATGTACACACCTGCCACGAAGGCGTGATATCAACCTGGACAGCCTTCCCCCCAGCCCCAATGTAAAAGAAAAGCTGCGCATGCTGTTTGAACGGCGTCTTCGGCAGCGCAAGCAACTTCTCTTTAACGGCGTTGGGCGCGCCCTGGACTGTGATTAGGAAGTCAACGTCCTGTTGGACGGGGTATACTGGTTGGGACTGGATCAGCCGGGTCATATATTCCATCTCAATACTAGTACTGATAACGGCTAGTCAGTTTCCTTTAGGAGGGGTGACACCGACCTCCGTGCTCCGGAAGTGCTCAATGTACTTCCATAGACTGAGACCGCCGATGATTGCGATTTTGGTGTTGGCGAATTCGGGCATCGTTTGCAGGATGAGGATTACGGCGCCGGCGGCTTGTTCTAGTTCGGTAAATGTAGGGACGGACATGTTTGGCGTGGTTTATGGGGTAGTTGATGTGGTGGAATAGGGTGGTGGTGAGGAGGGAGGAGGTAGTAGGTAGGTAGGGATGGATGGTGGATGGTGGATGTAACTGGTGTGAACTGGAGAAGCAAGGGAGAGGTTCTATACCTGTCTATATCGTACGTGCTGTTTTTGCTAGGAGCATTCACCGCAGTGTCAGGCACTGGGACTGGGTTGTATTGTATGTAGCTTAAGCATCTGGTTCTTTTTTTTTTTTTTTTGACCACTCTGCAGAGCAATCTTCTGCATACTCACTTGCTCTATGCATCCTCTTCATCATTGAAAGTCTATCTGATTGTTATCATACAACAAAGCATTGGTATCATGTCTCATGTACTGGCGCTTTCTCAGTGTCTCGAATCAATGGGCTTTGCGTATAGTTGCCCGTTCCTGATACAACTGCACATACAATCAATTACCACTGGGAGTCCCGACAACCTTGATATTGGACAGACACACGGTCTGTAGAGTCGCGTCTGCGACCAGTCTTTTCGTGCGCCACTCTGTAAGCGGCGACGCCGTTTGGACGTTGGGGATGCGCAGCATAGCTGCAGCTTCAGAGAACCGGTCATTGGTCATGGGCCATACCCATCAGAGGTTATAACTCTCCCAATACCGAGTGTCCTTCGGAAAATCCACCATCCTTATTCAGTTATGGATGGCGAAACTCTAACTCAAGCCAAACCATCAAACGCAATCCGTCAGTCCGGCCTGACAGAGAGAAGCCCCCCCTTCGACAAACCCCGACGAAGTGCATCCAAATTAGTATACATTTTCGGATCCGCCTGACCAAGCGCTCGATAGAACGGCCGGTACTCCTCTCCCAGTCGGTCTTCATCAAGAAGCTCAGTCCCGTCCACAAACTCCAGCATATAAGTCAATAGAACAACCCAGTAATCTTCATAGGCACTCCCGTAATCCCGACACAGTAAGAGGATCAAAGCCTCGCAGTATCTGACGGCACTAGGGATCCAGACGGCATCGAGTCCCGACGAGAAGCGGCCTCGGCCTCGGCCGGGAATTGGCGGGGGAAGTCTCCTATCGCATGCTAGCACAACGTTTGGATCCGCGTCGCGTGATATATCGATGTCTTCTAGGTCGGGAATCGCCCATAGCATATCTGATTTTCGGTGCAAGGACACGGCGAGGTTGTCGTCGATGTGCAGGTGACTGGTGGGCGGGGGACAGCGGCGGGTGTAGGGGCGAGCGCAGTTGAAGCTCGGCGCGCAGGGAATAAACCCTATGTCTGTCAGGGTGGAGTAGGCGGTTTCTATGAGTGTGTCGGGGACAACGAATGCAGCGTCCTGTGGGCAGTAGAAGTTAGCAACGTTTCTAGGAAAGCGGTAATGATATGTTGGTGGGATACAGACGTCCACGATGGTAGGTACTCCAAAGACGGTTAAAAGATAGTTTCCCCAGAGCAGATTGGGGATGCCTGCTGTGCGTAAGACGTGCGATATCGATGCAACCAGGTCATTATTGAGTGGTTGCCCACCGAAGTGGAAATCAGTCATCGTGGTGGAGGATTTATTCGGAGAGAGGAGGGCCAAGCTTGTTTGTTTGGGTTAGATAAGGCGTGTCGGTGCCGCCCACGTGATCGACTCGATATCAGGTATATCAGGAATCTTCATGGCCCTGATTCGAGATGAGGATGCACATAACGGTGGAACACAGAAAGTATCATTCTTGTCCAAACTTAATCTCAGATCCTTCCTGATCACCAACTAATACACTAGCGTCACCCCACCATTTGGGCATGTCGGCCCCACCAAACATGATAGTGTGGATCCGGATAGCCTTGATATGGTCTCGTCCTGACAGGTCGGCCACCACTAGATACAGGAGTGACGTAAATTGCATGCACAAAGAAGAATGGAATGTATACCGCCCGAATTCCAATACATTAGATAGAACAAAGAAAAAGGTATCATTTCTCCCCAGGCCCCTTGCCGATCTTGTACCATCCTTTTCGGATGGAGAGTTCCTCCAAATCTACAGTCTGTCCGAGGTCGCAGGCCCGACAGCACTCTTCCCAGATCACCTGCGAGATTGGACATTGCCGAAAATGTTTGATGAAGCCCTCCTCCGAATATACGATGTCCTCTAAGTGGTAATACTTGTCTCCCAATTCCGACACCTCGTCCGCCCGGATAATTCCTTCGAACCCCACCGCGCAACCTATGCAAGCTACCCCATACTCGACATGACCGCTAGCCCGGTCTACATACGGGAGGTGCGTAGCGGTCATAAGCCGCAGTGGATGCGGGTTCTTAGGGAAGGCAGGATCCAGCAGAAATCTAATCTGATCAATGAAACCGCAGCCGTCGGGCCCGGATATATGCCCTTCTGCTACGACGTGAATGGGCCATTTACACCAAAATCCCGGCCATGAGTAGACCTGCCCTCCCACCATCCACATTTTCGGCACGTCTTCTAGGTCCTCCTCAGCGAGGGAGTAGTACATGGTGATCTCATCCACGGTGGCCACTTCCAGCTGGGGCAGGTGGGACAGGCACAGGTAGCAGCATCGCGTAAAGGAGGTGAGGGAGACGTACCCGCCGAAGCGGCCGCAGAAGGTGCAGTCGCGCTGGTACAGCAGGCCGAGGAGATCGCGCAGCGTGTACCATCGCGCGATCTGCGAGCGGAAGATGGCGCAGAGGGCCCCGAGGGCGTGCGTGGTGAAGGTGCGGTAGCCGCGGATGTTGTGGACCACGATTTGCGCCCGTCGGTTGGTGTGGCGGAATGTGAAGAGCGATCGCAGGTCGAGGTAATTGATGCAGATGTCGTGGAGGAGCTCCAGCGGGAGCTTGTCGAGATAGCCGAGATTCGTCCGAGGCGTGTAGACCGTCTGGCAGATGGAGTGACCCACATATCGATGGTAACGGGGATTGATGTTGATGACCGACATCTCACTCCGCATGTGGCGGTATGAGGTTAAATAGATGATATCTCCGGCGTCTTCTGGGTCGAACTGGTAGAGGTCATTGGAGATCTGCAATTTCTCATCCCGCTCCGCGAGCTCCCTGCGGACCCGACGGGTATTCTCGTTTGGCTCGATCTTAAAAGGTCTCTGCTTGCCAAAGCCTCCCGGTAGAGGGCACTGGATGGTTCGCGATCGCGTCATGATGTCCATTGTGCGATGGTCTCTCTAATCCGTTGGACTTTGCGGTGATGTGCAGAATTGAAGAGATTTAGTGGGATTCCCCCACGTGACCGTCCGATGGAGAGGGGGCCCACTTCCTGCTGGTCTCGTCGCGTCCTTACTGTAACATTGCGACAACACGAAACGGTGGTGTTTTATGCAATGATTTCACACGATACACATAACGCTTCAGACGAATCGAAAATATACCGAGCGGGCTAACGGGCGATGATGTTGTCCGATCAGACACAGGGAAATATGGATCAATTTACGTTGGGTCCACGTTGCTAGATCTTTCTCCACTGTTGGCCCGATTACACTTGGCTGTATTAATCGATGACGTTTCGGGAGAAACGAATACTACTCGGTGTACTCCGGTGCAGGACAGCGTCTTGAATCAATGTTCGATGGAAGAAAGGTTTTCGGGACGTGCATTATCCCAGTCGCAGCGTTTTAGAGTAGGATATATATATGTGTCGGGTAGGCATAATTAAGGCAGAATACTAACACACGATCAAATCAATAAACCCATGAATCATCCCATCGTCAACGGCATAAAGTCCGGATTATAAGTAAAGGTGTAATCGCCGCCCGCAACAAGGAAACAGAGAGAGACAAAATCAAGTTAAAAAACAAGAATATAGATGAAAATCCAAAAAAAAAAGTCAAAGGAAGCATATGAAGGAAGAGAGACATGGGAGAGGGAAGAAAAAGTAGGCGAGAGGGGGTAAAATTCGAATCTACATCCCAAGAACAGCAAAAATAAACATGACCCCAGAGATATTCCACCACGATGGTACGGATAACGACACACCCGCTGCGGTGTGCAGTGGTGTGTCTGGCGTTGTCGACGATGAAGGCGCTCTCGTTGGGGAAGCTTGCGAGCTGGTGGGGGGGATGTTCCCTGGGCGGGATCCCGACTGGGAGGAACCTGTACCGGGACCAGAGGAACCGGAGCCTGGTGTACTGTTAGCGTTTCCATTGTCGTTTTCGCTGTGAAGTTCAGATGTCGTTCTTGTCGAAGACGCAAAACTAGTTGTGACAGATGATGTACTTGATGTGGTTGAATCAAAAGCAGAGTGTGTAGTGGCAGATGAAACACGCGATGTAATAGAATCAGAAGCAGAGTGTGTGGTGGCAGATGATGAAGTTGACGTGGTAGAATCAGAAGTAGAGTGTGTGGTAGACGAGATACCTGATGTTGTAGAAGCAGAAGCAGAACGCGTTGTAGTAGGTGGAACGCCCGACGTGGAAGTCGATGTCAAAGAGGTTGAAGGATCACTGGTAGACGCAGAAGAGGTTGCGATTGTCGACTCACTGGTACTTGATTTGGTGGTTGTGGTCGTTGACGAGCTTGATTGAGCAGCCGACGAAGACTGCGCGGCGCCATCGCCCCCGCCTGAGGACCCCTGATCATTGCAGAAGTTTACCCATGGCAGGAAATCTGGGATCCCGCCACTGGGGTCTCCTGTGCCGCCTATGCAGCTCTCGCATTGGCCCCTTTTCTCCTGGAAATTCGAGCCCTCTTTACAGAGATCGGGATCTTTGCCGAGGTTCTGGCCATCCTGCGCAGCTTCGTTGCAGGGAGGGTAGCAAAGATCGGGATAGGAGCTCCCTCCTTTGTCCCGTCTCCATACGAAGGTAGGAGATGAGCGACGGTAGTATTTGTCGCTGCCAATCTCATCGATCTCCGGGAAGCGGAATATATCATCACTCAGCCCAAAGAGGGCAGGTTCGAGGTTGAAGTACCCCTTAGAAACATTGTACGTCCTGGTCTCTGGGTTCTCAGTCTTGTTCCAGACTTGGTTGTGGATGTATGGCGGGCTCTTGATGCACTCTTCGGGCCGGCAGACGTAATCTTCTGGCGGAATGCCGGCCTGGAAGTTGCAGTTTGCGCTGTCGCCGCTCCGCTTCGGGCTACAGAGAGTGCCGGGAGGACAGCCCCAGGTGTAGTCTGTTGGGAGCGGTGCAGGAGGGGTATAGGTTGGATTTACGGAAAGAGGTGGGCAGCGGGAGACCGTTTGGGTTGTTGTTCTCGTGGAAATAGACGTGGTGCCTGCAGATGTGGTGCCGGGGGCTGTAAAAAGTCAGTTCAGATACATTTGGGTGGAACTGCAGTGGTCTCTGGCTTACCGGTGACTGTGGACCCTGAGTCAGTTGGCCCCGGCTGTGTGATGATGGACGTGACCGTCGACCCAGGAAGAGTGGTGACAGAACCTGATATCGTGATCGTTTTTGGCGGCACGACCGATGTTTTGGTGATCGTAGGCCCTGACACAGTTGTCCCTGGCTGTGTGATGACCGAAGTAATCGTTGATCCAGGAAGAGTCGTGACCGACCCTGATACCGTGATTGTCTTGGGTGGCGCAACTGATGTGGTGGTGATGGTGGTCCCCGGAGCGGTGGTTGTGAGGGTACTTCCCGGTGCGGTAGTCGTGATGGTACTCCCTGGCAATGTCAAGGTCGAGGTCACAGTCGACCCTGGCAGGGTGGTGACCGATCCTGACACGGTCACCGTCCTGGGAGGCACCACGGACGTGGTCGTGATGGTGGAACCTGGTAAGGAGACTGTGGTTCCTGGTTCTGTCATCGTGCTTCCTGGCTCTGTCACCGTGGATGTCGCATTCTGAGTAATGGTGGTTGTTTCATCGTCCCCGATCCCAATGCTGATTGTCACAGTCACAGTGAACCCAAAGCTTTTGGTTATGGTTGTTATGGTGTGGTCTGGTGGAGCTGTAATAGATTGACTGGGACATTGGAAGTCCGTGAAGCTTCGGGTGATCGTCACCGGATCATCAGTTACTGTAATCGTGGCATTGGAGCTTTCGGTAACTGTCCGTGTCTCTGCAGGAGGGGTGACGGTGACTGTTTTTGTTTTGTGTGGGGGAGGCCACAGGGTCGGATGCGAATGTTCCTCTGATGTGGTAGATGTGGTAGAGGTTGTCGAAGGGGGAGGAGGCAATTCGGACGTCTTGCTTGTAGTGGTGATGATCGGGGGAATTATTGTGGTATATGTCGTCAAGCTGGTTTTGCAGTCACATGCTTTATCATACGCCAGCCATGTTTTCCATTCAGTCAACACTCCTCTCTCTCCTATCTCTCTTCGGACTTGCATTTGCTCCGACGCGCCATCCCCTATCCCCCACACAAAGGAGGCTGCCATAAGCAATGGCATTGCCACGCGTTTTATCTTCATGATTGAGGATTTCAATGAATTCAATCTTCAGTGTTGCGATATGCGAGATAAAGACCTCAAGGGAGTCAGGCTCTATGCAGTGCGCATGCCAATTAGCGATCATCAAAGGAGTTTTTTTGACTCAATGCTATCCTCGTGTCAGTATGAGCAGGCTAAAAGAAAGATAAAGAGGGAGGGGACAAAAGGTGCAATCGGTTTTTCCTATCACCCTGTTGCCAGTTCCCCAGCAACCGATGTTACCTTACGATTGACTGCCTTTGATAGCGGCACATACCACCTTACCTCCAACTATTGCTGCTCGAACTGGGGACGCGTGAACAAAGAAAAAGAAACTGGACACAACCTTAACCTCCTGGGGTCCGGTGCAACACAATATAGGTTGTTTGTGGACTAGTTCTCTCAGCCTCGTGCTGTTGTGCCCAGACGACGTCAACGCGATAAAAAAAAGAAAATAAGCGAAGCATGGAAAAATACGAGGCCAGAACACTTGGGTGCATTTGAGAGGGCCCTGCAGAGACCTGCAGATACGTTGGATAGGAGCAAATTCATTGCTGACTGCATCAAGAACACGGCGAATCACGTCAGTCCACCACACGGCGACAGGCTGGGATGTTGCATCGCTCTCCGGCAGGGGTGCACAGTAATGGTTTGTTATCATGATTGGGGAGGGGTTGGTCAGAATGGATGCTACAGAGCGGGAATTCGCGATACCCCTCATTCTACCAAATCACCATATCCAGAACTTGACCATGATCGACCCGGATTGGACTTGCCTCTAAGACTAACACGAAGCTGAACGAATAACCCCTCCACACGTACATGCAGGATGTCTAGCATCTCCTCACCTCGTTACCACTTGCAGCATCCTGCCCGAAGCCACGGCATCTGAGGCCCAGGGTCTGTCCGTTAAACCCTCACTGCTAATGGATCCCACCAGTTCCCCGCACCTATCGAAATCAACTTTGGTCAGCAAGAAGGGAAGGGCGATTCCTAGCCTTGCAGATGGCCCAATCATAACATTGGTATCCCTGTTCCCACTGATCAGGCAAGAAATCCCAATGACCTTCCAGGCCGGTCTGATACCCAAGCAGGCTGGCAAACAATTTCCCGGACGAGAAGACGAACAAAGAGCCTCCTCGGCACGCTGCGTCAGGGATCCTCGACTTGGTGGTGTCCTCTCATCTCCTCCTGTCTCCTATCTGTCACTTCCCTTTTCTTTGTCTTTTGTCACTTTTTTTTGTTCCATTACCTTTTTCCTTAATTTTAATTTTTAGGTTTTATTTGCCCAACTTTCTCCTTGGTTTGTCTCTCTGCGTGCCTACCATCGTCTCGGAGGCCCAATGAGTTCTCCCAGGTAGTACTGTACACTTCTGTAAGCTATCGAGGGCATTGTAAGTGACGAACCATCTCTGGACAGGCTGCCTTCTAACACCCTTCTAGGACGTCATGATGCCGCGACATACTTGGCTTGCGTTCTCTCTCTGGGTGGCCCTGGCCGACTGCCTAGGGCCGGCATGGACGGGAACTCAGGTCAGCTTAACCGTCCACAACTGGGACAGGCTGCGCGGTATGTCTTTCAAGGACTACAAGGCGACTGTACACTAATCACACGCAGTGAATACCATCCGCGATACCGTCTACCTCAACGGGGGCACTCTTTATTGGCAGAAGTAGGTAGGCATTTCTTCGCGTGGCCGCAGCCATCGACTGACAGTCCCACAGAGAATACTCCGATGACGAACCTGACCTGCGCCTAGACAGTAAGGTTCCGTGCTCCTCGTCTATCCACCAGGTGGAATCTAACAAGGGACAGACACCGCAGAGGCAAATATCTACTACTTCTATCTCAATGAAACTTTTGACACTTCAACCACAAACCTAACGGCTCTGCTCCACGTCATGCCTACGACCGGAGTTCAATCGGCCAGCAATATCGCCTTAACTTATATGGACGGCTCCATGCTTGCCAACGATGAGCAATTCTATTTCTATGGGTATGCGTCGTCGGCGCTCTCTCCAAGCGCATTAGTGGGATCGATAGGCGCTAACCCATGACCAGAGGCATCCCGCGTGTATTCACCGGCGATCCACCACCTGCCGAAGACTTGACCATGGGCTACGAGCGTTACCAGTACGGCGCGCATAAGGCAAATTGGCGAAGCGGGTTCCACGGCGACAAACTCGACGACGGTCTGACAGTGTACGTTTCCAACGGCGCAAGTGTCTCTGCACCAAGCGAAAATCTAGGGTTCTACTTTAGCGGGATACAGAGGAAAGATAGGGGTCCTATCTACCTTCACAGCATTAGTGATGAATTGAAAGAGCTAACCGAGGCGGACACATTCATCACGGTTGATATGTCCAAGATGCGAGACAACAAGTGGGCGAACCACACCTTGCCGGAATATGTGGCCGGTCGGGCTAATGCGGAAGCCGTCTGGGTGCCTGTGTCGGGGAAGGGCATCGTGGTCATTCTCGGAGGAGTAATAAATCCAGCTGCGTTGGATGGGTACTCCACCCCAAGTAAAGAGGCCCAGAGCGAGAGTAAAAAAGTGAGCCCAGGGTTTATGGAGAGCGTCTCTGTGTATGACGTTGCCGAGAATAAATGGTACTGGAATCCTCATCTAAACCTGCCCCGCCCTCTCACCCTCTCACTCTCTCTTTTCCACTTGGTAAATCTGCTAACGCAGCATTGCAGGTACATCCAAAAGACCACAGGCGACATCCCTCCCCAGCTAGCCCGGTTTTGTTCCGTCTATGCCAGCGCGCCAGACGGTTCCTCGCACAACATCTATATATACGGCGGCAACAATGGCACTAGCCCCCAAGCCACCCCATCCGATGACGTGTACGTGCTATCGCTTCCATCGTTTGAATGGATCAAGCTATACAGCGGGGTAAAAGAACATGGCCGCACCGGCCACGGCTGCGTGAAGCCGTATCCGGATCAGATGCTCGTGTTGGGGGGTCAGTATATGGACGTAACCAAGCCTCTAGGCGGGGGTTTCATTCAAGTACTCAATCTCAACACCGGTCGATTTCAGAATAAATACAACTCGGTGTACGATGAGTATCGTGTGCCGAATATGGTAGCTGGAAGGATTGGCGGGGGGTGAGTAACCCCAATCACCCTCCCTTATTTTATCTTCTCTTCCCCTCCCTTTGAATGGTTTCTAATGCAATAACCGATCATTAGCCCAATGGGTGGTGCCACCAAAACATCCCCTTCATCCTGGACAAACGACTCTCTCGCCTCTGTCTTCAAAACGAAATACCCCGGGACCATAAAGACGTGGTATCCCTACCCGCAAGTCCGCAGCATCCAGGAGAAACGGGGCACCAAGTTCCCGGGTTGGGCCGGCGCCATCATCGGCGTCGTCCTCGGCGTCATTCTCATTGCGTGCGCGCTGGCGTTCTGGCTCATCCGGCGGCGCAGAAAACAACAGCAATATAGAAGCTCGCATAACCCGAGTATCAGCGAGCCCGACACCAGCACCATGACGCGAGTGGCGCGATGGATACACGGCTCGGGCGGAGACTCCGCAGTACCCAAATCGGGCGACACTGTATCGACCGAGTATGGGGCGCAGAGCGAGGGAACGGCCGTCTCGCGAGGATTTCTGCCTGAAGTTGCGGGAGAGCCTGTTCATGAACTTCGTGAGTCCCCTCTTCTTTCCCATCCACATTTCGCCTCCCTCTTGATACAAACACGTCACAGAATGGGAAAGATGCTGATAGAAACAACAGCACCAGAAACAACCAGAGTCTTCCCCGCCGAACTGCCCACGCCTTACAACATCTACTCCGGCCGTCCCAATCCGGCTCCTAGCCCCGCGCCGAGTTCCACGGGTGGAGGATTTCGCTCGCCCGTGTCGCCTGCAACGCCGGGAGAAGAAGGCAATAACCAAGAGGAAGGGCGTCCAACGCACGCACGACAGACATCCAACGTGTCGAGCGCGCCGTCAATGTCTATCGCGGACGTTATCAGCGAGGACGGGGAGAAAAACACCAGAGGACACGCAATGAGACCCAGTATTGTGTCTAATCTCTCAGAACTGAGCAGCACGCCTTCTTCGTTCTCGGAGCAGGGGACCTGGACGGGGCTGGGGATAAACGCTGACGGGAAATTGAGTCCAACCCGGGAGGATAAGGAATGAGCATGGTGACCTGAAATCATGCTGATGGATGGATTGGGGGAGTAATCTGTTTGATATAATTCTGTTTAATACCCATTGATTAGATCGATGGTCTGCGTTTGAATATAGTCAACCAGTATATACTACCTACACGTCACTACTCATAGCCATAGCTAATAGCATTGTAATTTTCCGCTGATGCTTTTAAACAAACTGTATATAGTGCATACACTACAACCGACTCCCAAGCACCATCCCCCTCTCAAAACCCGCCGCTGCCCTCAAAACAATCTCATCCTCCCACCTCCTCCCCACAATCTGCATCCCAACAGGCAGTCTTTCACCCCCGTCCCCGACCCCAAACCCACACGGCACACTCAACGCCGGATGTCCCGACGCATTAAACGGACACGTATTAGCAACAACCCCCACAGCAGCCCTCACCCTCTCCATAACCCTACCATTCCCCCCAGGTTCCAAATTGCGCATCGCAACCGTCGGCGCCGTCGGCGTAACCAACACATCGTACTCCTCCAGCGCCCTATCATAAGCAGCCCGCAACTCAAACACCTTCCGATGCGCCTTACCCACCACCCCAGGGAACGTCTCGCTCAGATACGCCCCGCAGAACACCAAATTCGCTACGCTGGGGTTCTTTGCTGTCGCGGCGGCGTACATCTCGCTGTCAAGCGGCCACTTCAGCGTCCCCAGCTGCGGCATCCCGTAGCTCAGGTATCCCGGTGTGCTTTGCGCGCACGCGTACTCGCCCATTGAGGTCCGTGTCGCGGCCGTCCAGATGGCGGGGCCTTCAGCGTGCATGGGGATATCAATCTCTGAGATGACGGCTTCGCCGTGAGCGGGGAAGAACGCGTGCGCGGCGTTGCGGACTGTGTCGCGCACTTGGGGACTGAGGCCGGGAACTTCGAAGGATTCGCGGATGAGGGCTATGCGGAGGGGGCGCTGCGGCTGCGACGGCTGCGCGAGTAAAGCTGGGTAGTCCTTGACGGCGTGGCGGAGGGGCGTTTCGGGCGTCATGCGCGCGTCGATGCCGTCGTAGCCGGCGAGGACTTGGAGCAGGACTGCAATGTCGGGGAGCGAGGAGGCCATTGGACCGAGGTGGTCGATCATGGGGGATAATGACAGCGCTCCTGTGTAGGGGATTAGGCCGTGGGTGGGCTTTAGCCCGTAGATGCCGTTGTAGGAGGCTGGGATGCGGATCGAGCCGCCTTGGTCGCCGCCGATGGCGAGGTCGGCGCGGTCGCCGTTGGAGGGGGATGATGGGGTGACAGGGACGGCGTTCAAGCCCATTAGGCTGCCGCAGCCGCTGCTGCTGCCGCCGGCGGAGAAGCCGTGGGCCCAGGGGTTGTGGACGGGTCCGGTGGCGGCGGAGAAGGAGAGCGGGGAGGCGGAGTACATCTCGCAGGTTGCTGTGCCGGCGATGGAGCCGCTGGCTTCGAGAACGCGGCGGACGACAGGAGCGTCGATGGGGGAGATGGGGTATCCATTGGGATGGGCAAAGAAGGAGGCGGGCAGGCCGGCTGTTGTGGGGAGCCCCGCGATGCTGATGTGGTCTTTCATGGCGACTTTGCGGCCACGGAGGAGGGTCGAGGTTGGGTGAGAGGCGCGGATGTCGCAGCGGTGGCTCCAGGCGTTGAGTGGGTTGGCTTTTGTTGAGGGCTTCCAGAATGTGCGGGGCGAGACCGAGGGGGTTGGGGATAGAGCTGGGTGGAGGTAGTCTGGCGAGTTGGCGATCTGTCGGTGGACGGCTTCTGCGGACTGAAGGAGGAGAAGGTAGCTGTCTTCCTCGTCGCCGGGTTGGATCGTGATACCCCAGCGAGCGGCGAGTTGGTGCAGGTATTCGGGAGTAATGTCCGACTGGTAGTTGGAGGGCAGCGCTACTGTCGACATTGTGCTTGATGTCTTGTGACGAGGCCGTGGGAAAGAATTACCACTCGGCTACAAAAGAATTCATGATACTCTTGCTTCGTGAATAACCTTATATGGCAACATTGGCTTATCGGGGGATTGGTGGAGAGAGGGAAGCATGTATGCTGTGGGATACGGAGTTGGAGAAGAATTGGAGTCATCCTTCGGCGTTTGTCGGAGCATTTGATAAGATGAAGCAGGCTGACAAGGCAGAGAGAGCTTTATTCAGCTCTGAACTGATCGTGAATATGTCGGCTGTTTTAGATCATTCATGATAGGAAGGGCAGTAGCTGTTTCTGATTCCATTTGACTCGACATCCAGGAGAGAAAACTGGCGCATACGAGTGTCTGATGCTGATACGGAGAGATACGGAGCAGGGCTGCAGGGTTCTCCAACTGGAGTCAATGGAAGATAGTACCGTTGGAGAAGGCTGCCCAAGTGAAGTTTATCACTGATCAATTAGAAGTCAGCTAAATTGCATCAATAGATCCCTTATCATATCCCTAGAATTAGATCCTCGCTATTAAGAGGAGATAACATCAAGCAATGGCGCCAAGTCCCTTGGGAATCACAGCATTCTTAAGCACAAGATAAGGATTAATAAGATCCATCCATAAGGCCTGCTCAATGAGATAGAGAAGAATAGAACTATAAGAAAAGAAACAGAAAACTTGAGTGAGTAGAACAAAACAGACCGTATCTATTTTGTCTTCATGCAGATAGCGTAGAAACAAAGATTATTAGAATCAAGAGCATCATCAAATCAGAATAAAGAGTCAAGACGCCATCCGTACATATCATCATCGTTATCATACTGGTAATCGTGAATCGTGAATCATGAGGGGAAACCCTCATCACACACTAGCAGTCCGACGCTTCTCGCTCGGCTTCTGCGCATACGCAATCAGCAGTCGGAATCCAGTCCCTCGCTGCTGACACTCGCGGAGAACCTTGCGCTCTGCCCAAATGCTGAGGCTGATGTCGCCGTTCGGCAGCACCGGGATCTCGTAACATCGCGTGTACCACCACCTGCCGACTCGCGCGACGATCTTGCGGATGGATTCATCGTTGGAGGGAGACGGGGACGGGTCGGAGAGTAAGTCACCCAGAGATAGGTCAGTGTCGTTTGAGGAGGATTTGCCGTGGAATTTGGTCTGCACGTCGATCGAGGACGTAGATGGCATGGAGAAGATGGTGGAAGGGGTGGCTGTCGTGATGCGAGTGGGGTGGTGAGAAGATGAGCCGGACGAAGACCCTGACGAGCGGACGATCAGTCCCACCACGGGAATGCGCACCATGCACCGTCGCAGGTTGTCGAAGCCGTGCTTCCCCAGTAGGCGCTGAACGCTGTCGCTGGCTGGCTTGAGGCTGATGCTAGGATCTGACAGGTATGTGCGCTCCTTTAGTTTTCGCACCGCCTTGCGCGTGCGAATCCCCATGTTGACCATGTCCAAGTCCAGCACGCTCATCTCCATGTACCCCCCGGGGCGTAGCACGCGTTTGCACTCTGCTACGATGTTGCACTGAATACTTTCGGGACTGGCGGCGGGGAAGCGCAGGATCGTGGCGGCGAAAAATCCCCGGGGAAAGGGGAATTGAGTTTCCAGGCTGGCGTGCTGGATGGTATGGTGGTTTGATGGTGGAAGCCAGGCAGCGGGATGCTTGGACGCAGTTGGCGCCGGTCCGTCACTGAGGTGGTACACGTCCGCGTTCGGGTACGTCAAGGAGCAGTAGAAAGACCAGTCATCGTTCCCCAGTCCATCGATCACAAGGATCTTTTCTCGCTCCCCGCTGCTCACATGATTGTGGGCTGGGCTGAAGAGCACTCGCCCAAAAGAGAGCCAACGGCTTGTCATGAGCGACCCAGATCGGATGTTGGTTTGCGCGGTAGGGCCCTCCCGGTCACGCTCAGCAATATCGAACATAACCGTATTCCGCTGTCGACAGGTCTCGAAGCTCGGGGACGGGTTCAATGACGGCAAGCTCAGAACGCTATGATGGCTGTCTGCAGGCGGAGTCGGGGTTGAGGAGCCAGGCCGGTCCTCGCTGCAGTTATCGTCTCGCTCATAGCTGGCAATGAGATCGCTGTATGATTGTTGGGCCGATGGGGCAAAAGATGAATGAAGCGCGGCCGCAATTCGAGATCGGCGGAGTCGTATGGAGCCATTGCTGGACCCCGGCGACGCTGGAGTGAAAGCCACCGTCGGATTCTCGGCTTTGGGGGCAGGGACCCTATTATCCGCGAAACGATTCATTCCAACTTGGAGGGTCCGACTAGCCCGGGTCGCTAGCTGAAATCTCTCGTCTGCCTCGTGTTCATTCGAAGTCATAGATCTAGTGGTTTCCGGGGAATATAGCACGTGGTCGATAAATTCATCGAACTCGCGCCAAATCTCATCCTCAGTCAGTGCCGAGTGGGGCTGAGGAATTTGGGCAGTCACTGCAGCAGAACTCTCAGAGCTATTGGAGGTTGAGTGTATGGAATCTTTCCGGGGAGCCATCGTGAAAAACTCATTCTTTGAGTAAGGACCAGAAAGGAAATCCAGGGGATTTGCTTTAGAGGAGGGCCCAGAAGAGTGAGGGGCGTCGATCCCATTGTGCGATTGTTGGTTGTTCTGGTTATCTGGTTCAACTCGGCTAGATGGAGAGATCTCAGTCTGTCGATCCGTGACAGGCGCTGGGATTGACGGTAATTCGATCACGCTAAATGGCCGAGAAAACGACTCCATTGCCGGTCTGTGCTGTCTGTCACGCTTCGAAACAACTCGAGGAATTCGCCCGATAGACGCAAGACGGCTGGGACGCGAGTCTTCTGGACTTCTCTCCTGTTCTTGAGGATTGGGACGTTGAGTGAAGTACACCTTTGAAGGCGATTGTCGTCCAGAGAATTCTCTCTCTAGCTTGGGAGGAGAAGGAAGTAGTATGGACTGGCTGGGCTTCTTAACGTTCAAGGCTGCCGGGACCTCCACAGGTGAGACAGGTGAGACAGGCTCTTCGCTAAGAGGAGATTCCTCAAGAGTCCTGATGACATCCTCCAAAGGCTCTAAATCGGAGTCCACAATGGCATAATGCGCAACCGGCCGTTGCTGTGCGGATGGCTTTACCATCGCACGGACCTGGGAAGACGGATGGATGGTGGATGTTGACGGGGGTTCGCTGTTTGCTGGCTTGTGGCTTTTTTGAAAGAAGGGTAACTTCAGACCGAGTCCCCTTTTAGTAGGCTTCTTCTTCTGGTGTTGCTTCCCGTCCGGTAATCCCATAGCCGAGAAACGTGTAGCGATGGTTTCCTGGGGTCGAAGCTGCTTTGAATTGGCCGATTGCGACTCCTGCGCTTTCAGGGTGGGTGGACTCCCATATGCTGGTCTACCAACGTCACTGGCATTTGTGTTTGACGAACCATTAGCTGAAGCCTGGGAGGTCGACAGCCATTTTGCAGTCATAGTGTCCCCCGCACTGCGTGTCATACCCAGGCTTTCGGTGGAATGCCCAGGGACAGCTACCAGGCTTGCAGTTGAGGCAGTACTAAAGCCTCCTATGCTTTGCTCGCTCTGTGTTCTAGCCAAACTCGCGCCATCCCCACCGCCACCGTTGATCACCACGGGCTCGAGGCGATTCAAAAGGAAATCATCCAACTCAGGCGCACCGGGAACACTCCCTTTTCGGCTAGTCGCAGATCTAGTTGTACTCGAGGTGGTGCTAGTGGACCTTTCTCTGGAGGTATCACTGCTGGTGATGCTTGACCTTCGGCCTCGGTGCGCGTATCGCCCATAACCTTCGTGACCGGTCCCCGCAGCTGGACCCTTCCGCGCGGATCGACTATCCGAGCTTGTGTCAAGCTCGGGTTTGGATTTCTTAGGAAAGAGACCAAACTTTCGAGTCTTCTCCGGGCTTGGAGACTTCTGTGTCTTCTGATCCTTAGTCAAGGTCCGCAGGGCTTTTCGAGACGCTTCTGGAGAGGTGGGTGTCCGGGGCATCGCCGCTCGTGATGAGCTCCTCGAATGAGCTGAATTGACAGATGTGGCAGATTTGTTAAATGCCAGATATGTTGACCCAGTGTTTGGACTGCTTTCCAAAGAATCGCGACGCTTATGGCTTGTGACCGTGCCCGGTGAGATGTTACTCTTCACCACAGGGGAGGGTTCCTGCTCCAAGCGATGGGTTCCATATCTGCTTGGCCGGGAGGGTATCAGAGAGCCACTAGTAACAACCCTCAGACCATCCTCCCTAGAAGGTCTGCGAGGCTGAGCGGAAGACTTCACTTCCTTAGGCATAGTTTGATTGGCTCCAACACTGGGTCTTCCAACCCGAGGCAGATTCGATTGGGCAGAAGGCCCACGAGGTAGCATACTGCTGGGCCCTGCGGCCGCTCTCCCATTTTCAAGCTTGGCAGTGTTTTCCTCGGTGGTTTCTTTGCCTAAAGATATCATAGACCCTGTTGTCTGTTTCATGATGGGAGATCCAAAGGCTTTTCGATCCAAGCTACCGCCCTGAGAAGCTGACGACGTTTGCGGGGAGAACCCTGGGAGCCGTGTCTCGTATGGGCTCGGCTGCCGTAAGCGAGACCCTTTGGCGGGTTGAACAATTCCTGGAGAAGCCGATGACAGCGTAGTTGGCGTGGAGGTCCTGCTCCATACCCCTGGGGAACTTGAGTATCTCGTCGACGGACTGCTAGCAGACGCGAATGCCGGAGTAGGCGGAGGTAGGTTCTGCATGTTTAACGTTGTCCGCAGGCTGGCAAGCTCTTTTGGGCCATGGAATCGCTGCTCTGGTGGCTCATTCGTCGTCTTCTGAAGAGGTGAGTACTGCGTAGAGGGTGAGGTAAGGTGACTCCGATTTCCAATTCCCGTGGAAAGCTCTGTGGCGCTATTCTGGCGAGAAATGTTCGGGATCACTAGGTTCAATTTCTCGGGTCGAGACTCCGCCGCATCTTCTCGATTCATTGCCGTATGCTGCCCAATGGTCGGCGCCTTCCGTCTCAAAACGTTTCGGGGACGATTGCGAATCGGCTCTTTCTTTTCACGGCCGACTGCGTTTTGCGGCTCCGGATCTGCGAGGGGAGTTTGCACGTCTTTATGACCCCCGATCAACCGGGCGCTCTGAGGCAAGGCCGACGGCAGGAGATGAGTGACTGTACGAGAAGGCAAATACGAGCGAACCTCATGGCTGGACGGTAAGTTCGTGGGTCTTGTCGGCGCTGGGACTTGACGAATGTCTTCCGCCTCCGACAAAGACGAAGCCCTGCTGCCCCTGGTAGAGAGACTAATCCGCTTTGAGCTCTGGATCCTGGACAGCGATGACTTAGAAGATACGAGCAATTTCTCAGGGGCAGTCATCACAGGTGATGGCCCGTTTGGCGACTGAGATGCAACATCTTTTAACCGGGGTATTCGACCGGCACTAGACTTGTGCGACGGCATGGTGCGACCTTGCTCCATCCGCCAGCTAGTCCGAGCACCGATAATCTAGCGACTGTTGTAATATCGTATAAGTATAAAACATTCCGTCAGATAATCATGTTATTGTTCTGAAAGCAGCGTGAGCCGTCTATATCTGTCAGCTTGATGCAAAAGATAGCAAACGCAGCCAGGGTCCCACTTACAATCTATAGCATACCACCAATCCTGTGCGGGATCCGGCAATGCAGTATTCCAAATAAGAACCGTATAATAAAAGGAAGAAAAAAAGTAAAGAAAGCACACGCGAGCGCAAGTGTCTATAAACCGAACCTCAAATTGGTCAAGCCGCTGAGATAAGCACGACACCCGGAGTCATGGGCATGGCAAGGGGAGAGATATCTATATAAAAGTTCCCGGGGTAGATTTAATGCGATAAAAGTATGCAAATGGTTATGGCCGCGCCGTGGGTCCGTCTTCTCTCCTTCACAGAAATTATATAGTTGAGACAGTCACCCGGCAACTGCACGGGCTCCGCCACAGTGTCGATGGTGCCACTGTCCACTGTGGCTAAAAAGAATGCACGGGGAGTGTTGAGCTGGGTCTGCACGACCACGTCAGAGAGATCCAAATGCCAAGAAATGTAAAAATCAGACAATAAGATTTTAAAGATGACAGAAACCAGCTGCATCAAAGAAAATGCGAAGACCTAAACGATCGAGGATATCAAACAAAGAAAAGAAAAATGGAGAATTTCTATGCTGTCTCATTTTCCTGGCCGGGACAGATCTGGACTTTTTGAAGGGCCAGAGCCTGTCCAGCGCTAAAATCCGACCCTCGTTAGCCTTGGGGGGGTAGGCCCGCGTAGCGGGGGACTGTGATCCCCATCCGCACACAGCGATCTAAGAGGCTGGCCAAATTAAATAATCATATCCCCTAGCACGCCTTGTGCGATCGACGTCGGGGCCGTGTTCATGGTTGATGTGACCGCGAAACCCATTGGTCTAAACATCACGAAGTGCCCCTGTTCTTATCGACTGTGTCGCACCTTGGATAGTTCTCACTTGCCAAGGGCATAGGAGCTCCAGTGTCCGGCAAAGTCATTCAGCGTCAACTCAATCAGGATCTATGGGGCCATCACCACACCACAGTCTGACTGGGTCGCTTGGGATGGGGTCGTGCACCGAAGGAGGAGCAATGGAATGTCCACCCCGTGGGCCTGTTCGATTACCGTAGCCCGCTATTCATTAGACCGTTACTGGCCGCTAGGAGATGCCGGTAGACATTGGGATATGACAGGTTGAGACGGGGGAGAGTGGCGTGGGATAGCGGGAAGCCGTCCCATGCGACATCGGCGTCCTCCACGAGAGTGGAATCTGGGAAAGAAACCAAGAAGCCACGAACAGGCATCAGCAAAAACTGCCTGTAGCTTGTGTTGGTTTTGAGCCTTGGTTGGTCTGTGTGTTGTTGGGGACAGACTGTGATTTGATGGATGTCGGACATTTCTCAAGGCGTTCTTTTCTTAGCCAGAGGTGGATCCGCAACTAATGCACTAGTCAGCAGTCACCTGGTCATCACTGACTTCTGACTTGCCCGGGGAGTCCGATGATTTGCGATCCCCTAGTGTTTTTTAGAACCCTAGTGTCTTTCATGATACTGGACGATCAGAGTGGAAGACTGCGCCATCCTTATCTCATCCATCGACAGCGTCATTGACTGCCCCAAACGGTCGTAAGCGATGATGAAGACCCCGTTTTCTTTAGGCCTCAGAACACCCCCCGCTATCGCGAACACGGACATACTAAGCACGCTAAAAATAGTATAAGAGCACTGATAACGATAGAAAATACAGGACCTACGCGATCCCATTTCACGGGCTCGCTTCCCCGTTACGTCCAGATTCTACCATTCTCTGGTTCGTTGGAAGGTTCGTCCCGAGCCACTCATCGCCCAATGATGGCTCTCACCCATCCAGGAGAATACACCCGGAGAATAACAGGGAAGCGACCCACAACTCTCAACGGACACAGAATAGGTTCGAAATATATTGAATCCCGACAACCACTCAGGGACCCTACATAGCACCTGGTCTCTTCAAGCCGAGACCTAGAGTCGCTTGTGCGTGGACCTCCCCCTCCCCCTCCCCAATCCCCATGTATCATGACGGTGCAAGCGTGATGGGATGGGAATCTTGGAACTCCCCCGTCCCGCGGAAATGGTGGAGTCGCTGAGCAGTGGGGCCTGATCCGCCGCTAGATGGGCGAGATGCAATGGTCGCTTGTGATTGACCGATGGGCCAGGTTTGGACGCGCGGGGCGAACTGGATCCCACCCGCCGGGCTTAGCACGGTCTTGGATGGTGTGAGTCCCGCCAGAGGATTCGCCAAAGGGTTGCAGGCGGCTTCGTGATACCTGGGATCCTGGTGGGGACGGCGGTAAAAATCCAGTCTGTTCTGATCTCAGGGGAAGAGGGGTTATAAAATACGGTGCTGGTAAAAGCCTAATATATCGGACGAGAGTCAATTACAGAGCCTTGCGACGTTTTTAATCAAGAGATAGGCTGGGTTTCTTCTCTACGAATGATGCTCGGACGGCACAGTGCGAGGCTCAGACCTCTCGTTCTGGACTCTAGATTTTCTTCAGTCAATGCACCATCTCCTGCAGCCAGCAAAAGCACTGCCGATCAGATCCGATCGGGGAATAACAGCACAGCTCTGGATCTTTCAGCTGACAATGTACAAAGCTTTGACTCACGGGATTTGACCGATAATCAAGAATTTTTTTATAGGAGATGAATATCTAGAAAATGTAACCAACCTGATAATAGACCTTATATTGCAGCGCTTATGGCAAGGATGCCCGGGTTTTTTTCCAAACTGGGCATCTGGCTACGATCATAGATATTTATGGTATTTCGACTATATGTATATTGACCACCCCTCAGCGAGGATCCTAAGGTATGGTGCTTTTCATATTGTAAAGATATGCTATAATTTTCCTCTTATAATTACGCACCAATACCTTCCTATCTCCATAACTTCCATCCTGCATCCTCATTCAGCCATTCATTACCCCCTACAGATACAGGTAGATAGATTGCCACGCCACCACATGGCGCAGACTCTGGTGCATTTCATTTCCAGACTCTTGGGACAGACCAGCGACAGGCTTCCTGTACGAGCAAGGAATACGTGTAGGTACATATACCGCCCCCATGGCGCCTGCGCATTAGGTCGCACAGACCAGGGTGGTTAGCGTGCAACCATACAGGCACATTCCCAATAACCCCAGACGCACGACTCAGGGGCTGGAGGTGAGAATAGGCTCACCGACGCGACAACTTTGTTCAAGATTCCGTAATTGCCGAGTGCAGGTCGGGACATTCAATACGAGATGGTGCTGATGTCGAGTAGATTCGTGGGAAAGGGAACTGGCTACAGGGAGCAACCCTGATCGTAAGATATCTGTTAGCCAGGAGAAGACTCAAACAGCTTATCGGATACTACGCTTCTCCCGACGTGGTATTGGTGGCGTCTCGGCTTGGACTGGAATGTTCTGCACGTGTTACTGCTACTCATCGGCTATCCTCGCCAATGCTCGATACATCGCTAATGGTAGGTATACGCTTCAACCAAGAACAGATGGATAGACGCTACATGATGCCTGCACAGCAGCTTTTCAAGATTTCATAAGAGAATGTATGCTACCTAGTGGACACAGTAAATTTCCCATAAACGCCAACAGACACAAAGTTAAGATGGAAAAAGATGGTAAAGAATGGCAGCAAAATTAGAGTCGACACTTCCGATCGCTCACGCGGCAGCAAACCGCTTCTTCCGGGCCTCCATAGCCGACCTGTCCTTCTCACTCATCGGGGCTTGACCACCACCGTTGGTAGGTCGTGCGCCGCCCTGCTGGTTGCGACCTTGCTGGCGACCGCCACGGCCGCGGCCGCCTCGACCTTGGCCCTGTCCTTGGCCCTGACCCTGTCCCTGGCCTCTGCCCCCAACATCGCGTCTCTTGCCTCCACGACCGCCCTGATCAGTCTGGCCGCGGCCTCTCTTGCGAGGCTGCTCAGTCGGCAGCGCTTCGTCCAGTTTGCTCACGCCCGCATTGGCAGGAACCTCAGCCTCCGCGCCAAAACGCTTAGCACGTTCTAGCCTCTGCTCGGCCTCAGCAATCGCAGCCTGCGAATCCTCCGTGATTCCAAACTTCTCCGCGCGAGCCTTGCGCTTCTTCAGTTCCTCCTCCAACTCAGTGACGGGCAGACCCTTGGCGTAATTGGTAGCCGGTTTCTCCTCCGCCTGCGCGGTCGCAGTAGATTGGCTCGAGCCTTCTTGTGTATCTCCCTCGGTGCCCTTGGGCTCCGCCTGGGGCTCCTCTGGGGCGGCGGGGGCGGCGTCGGGCTGTGGGTTAGGCGCTTCGGTATTCTCGGCCGGCGCGGCGGCTTCGGTGGACGGTTTCGCTGTCTCGGCGGGGACCTCGTCGTCCTCCCAGTCGATGACGTCGTCCGCGGTGTCGCCCTTGGGAGCGGCAGCGGGAGCCGCGGCGGAGTTGGTAGCCTTGCTAGCGTCGTCTTCCTGGATGCGAGCCACCATCTCTGCCTTCTTCCCTGTGTGCGGCAGGGAGCGCGCCTTCAGAATCTCGACGAGCTCTGCATTCGTCTTCTTGCTGTAATCGGTAGTCATATTGTAGAGGTGGGTTGCGGATGGTGATGTCGGAGGGTTGGTTGCGAGGAAGGGTGGAGGAGGCGGATGCGGCAGTTACACACGCACGGGTGATATTGGCAGTAAAAGGTAGCTTTACTCGACCATGCGATTCACCAGCAAATTGGTAGAGAGTGGTATAATGATGTGGGAGATTGATAGGTGTCGTCGAGCTGCACTCCTGTTGAAACGCGTCGCGGTATCGGCGCAAAGCAGCAGGCTCTTGGAGCTGGCGGCTAGTTTCTGAATCAGGTAATCGCGTCACGTGCATATTTTATATCACGTGATTGTGGCTCAAATCCAGGCACCCTCTGTTTCCCATGGCAATTTAACAGGCCAACAAGATGGCGAAAAACTCCAGCTATATCAAAAACCGGCATTAACACTTTTAAGACTGTATTACGAGTAGACTACACCAATAGAAGATTTACAGGCCAAGACAACCACATAGCTGTCCGCGAAACATCGGTACACCCGAGCAAAGCTCTGCGCTTCTATCAAAAAGCAGCACACCATTGACCCATCTACCAAGACAATTCCCCGAACATCTGCCTAGTTAAAGTTAGTCCAACAAACAAATATGGCCCAAGCTCATCGGAGCTTCCGACAGATGACAGCTGAAGTCAAGAAGCTAGCTTGACACATGGCATGAAAGGTATGGATGTGGCGAGTGGGGGATCTGCACGCACTGCGCCACCGTGGCTGTCATACCGTTTCGCATATCTCCCGTGTTATTTTTATTTTCATTGATCTGGTTTCTGGGCCCCACCGGCTTTATCCTGTGCTGCTATGACGTTTGTCAAATATAGAGAGGAATGTACACTATACAGATTACCCATTTCCACGTCACTGACGGAATGGCACGGATGCTTCTCTTGTGTCATAGCTCTCCGGCCAGGTATATGGCAGTGTCTCGTTTAGCAAAGTAGACATGGCAAAGGTTTCAAGTCTAGCTTGAGCGCAATGTTGCAAATGACTTGTAGTCCATCATAATGCTATGTTGAGAAAAACCTCAACATATGAGCTTCTCTAAGTAGGGCCACTGTATACAGCCTTGCCCGAGCTAATATATATACACCACATAGAGTTGAACGCTTCAAGTTTCTACACTTATTTACTATGGAATTGCTCATTCTATATACTAGGGAAACACCGACTTTTCAAAAATGACCATAAGCTCCAAACAAAATGGTTGGAATGACTTATATAACGTCCAGATTAAGCTACTCCAGGTGCTCAATACAGGAACTCAGTCTCAAAGGTATGGCATCTAGCTTGCAAAACCCTGAAATCTTAAAACCCCATTATACTATCTTCAACTAGTCAGGGAACCTTACGTGTGCACCAAACATATCAGTCTCTTTTTTTTCCTTCTCTGCCAATTCTCATACGATGTGTTCGTATAGTATCTCCTTACAGACTTTTCACATGTCACATAATCAAGACACATCCTGGCGCAAATCCGAGACCAGACTGAACATACGTGAATGACCCGGATTCATGTAGCCGAATTTATCATCATGCACTGAACCAGTGACTCAGTTGATATCTGTGAATGAATCCCAGTTCCCCTGTTTAGGTAGCTGAGGGGTACGCCTTGCTTATATTATTGCTTCCGCTGATCAAGCAACAGTCCCCAGGCAATCTCCATCATCATTTGTTCCTAACCCTCCCTTATCCAACTTCGTCTTCATCTCTCAACTCCCAAACTTCGATATCCACCACCATGACCGAGCTCCACATCACCGTCGACGACCTGATCTCCATAAAGGGGAAAACTGTTCTCATAACGGGTACACTTTCCCCATCCTCTCTACCATTTACACATTCTAACAAGCCATACACACAGGATGCAGCTCCGGCATCGGCAACGCAACCCTCCAATTGTGCCTCCAGCTCGGGGCAAACATCATCGCCGGCGACCTAACGCCCCTATCGGAAGATATTCTCAACACCCCAGACCTCCTCTTCGCCAAAACCGACGTCACCGACTGGCACAGCATCCGCGCCCTCTTCATCGCAGGCTACCAACACTTCGGCCAAATCGACCACGTCTTCGCCAACGCGGGCATCAAGCCCACCAGAAACTTCCTCGACGCTACCCTCGACGCAGACGGGCTGCTCGCGCCCCCCGACCTAGCGACCATCAACGTGAACTTCCTCGGCGTGATCAACACTGTCCGTCTCGCCATGCACTACCTGCGTCAGGACAGCGTCGATTCCAAGTCCCGCAGCATTGTGCTCAGCGCATCAGCATCAGCAATCCAGAACTTCCCCGCGCCAGACTACTGTACCACAAAGCACGGCGTGGTGGGCCTTTTGCATGGACTCACGGGCGAGCTGGAGTCAACGCTACGCATTAACGCCATCGCACCGTCATGGACAGCTTCCGGGATAGTCATCCGCGAGGTCGTCGAGACGCTGGGTGCGGAGGTGCAGGATGCCGAGGTCGTGGCGCGCAGTGTGCTCAAGCTTTTTGTGGACTTTGATCGTCACGGCGAGATACTTTACTCGTGGAATGGAAGGTTCTTTGAGATTAACAAGGCTAAGGGTGGACTGCTTGATTCTGCTGCTAAGCTGTTGCCGGATACCGTTTCGGAGGATGAGATCATGACTAGGTTGGTGGGTGTTGTTGCTGCGGTGGAGGGTGAGCAGGCGGTCAACGGTTCTTAGTTGGTGGTTTAAGGGTCTGAATATTCGCTTTGGCTAGTTTGTATTTAGGGTATTTAGGTTTCTTACTGTAGGTTAGTTTCAAAACTTGGAATAGATAAATGAAGTGAACAGCTCTTGATACCAGATCCACTTCCCAGGACTGAGGATAGATTAAACTTTCTCTTTACTATGCATTACCAGCGCACATCTGTCTCTATTTTTAGACATGAAGCAATATCATTGCCCTCATAGCGCATGGATGCCATCATTTTCACTTTTGGTGTTCACACACTGAATAGCTTCAGACGCGACAACGCTGCGATATATATTCTAAAAGAGAAACGATTCAATTACCTAATTCAATTATTTAAATCACAGTTTGTACATAATCATAGTCTGTATAATTTGCAAATAGTATTTATCAATTGACAATTTCACTGATTAACATCCCTGTCTAGAAACTGCCGTCAATAGAAACAGAAAATACATGTAGATCACCAGGGTTCATCTACCGACATACAACTCCCACGATCTAGCCCATCCCAAAAACCAAACCTCCAACCCGGCCGAGAAAACAACAACCTTAAAGCAGTAAATCAGCACGTTGGTACTTCCAACGCCAATAACAAGTCCTGACTGCGTCGCGCACGCCATCCCGTCGCGCCATCACCCCATGTACAAGGATCTAGGTACCCAACCAACAACGCTGGAAGAAGAATCTCCCCGCGTGGCAGCTCCAAATTCTCCACACTGGGGGAATGTCAGATAAGATTAACATTTGTTGTTGGAGATGGTCAATTGCGTGATGTGGAGGAGATATTGGTCTTGCGCTATGCTGTGAGGGTGGAAGTTTTAAAACGATGCGGTTCCCCTCTTGGGTGCAATATTGCGCAGTCGGGGCTGGTCTCGACTTCTCCAAACTTTTTATTATTTATTTTTCCTTGTATAATGGCGGAAAAGGTAGAAAAATCCGAATATGCAGCTGAAAGCAGCGATTCCGATATTGGGAGGCCAGCTGCAAGAGACGGGGAGGATGCGGCTAGAAAAGCTCTCTTGCAGTCTTTTACACCCGAAGAAGACAGGGTAGTGCGGAGGAAGATCGATTGGCGGTTCTTACCGCTTATTGGGATGATGTACCTCGTCAAGACTGTGGGTTATCTTCCACTCTTTGGGGGATAGGCAGGGCTGAGACTGACAGACTAGATTGACTATACGAATGCTGCGAATGTCAAGGTGCTCCAGGTTGGAAGTGAGCGGAATGTGCTTACAGAGCTTAGTATGACGACGGATGAGTACAATTGGGTGCAATCTATTTATTTTGTCAGTCACTGTTCTTTATCTATATGGCTGATACTACTAAACAAGAGTGAGAAACTAACAAACCCAGATCAGCTACATCATCTTCGAAGTCCCCAGCAACATGATGCTCAAAAGACTCACCCCCCGGCTATGGCAGTCGCGCATCATCCTCAGCTGGGGCGTCGTGCTGGCATGCCACGCAGCAGCAAACAATAAAGAGACGATGTGGGCGCTGCGCTTCCTGCTGGGCATGTGCGAGGCAGGCTTGTTTCCGGGGATCGCGGCGCAGCTGTGCGGCTGGTACCGCAGCGACGAGATGGGCAAGCCGATTATGTGGATGTTTGCGTTCCAGAACTTCTCGGGTATTTTGGGGTCGTTGTTGGCATATGGGATTTCTTATATGAATGGGATGTGCGAGATGAGTGCGTGGCGATGGTAACCCCCCCTTCTTCCGTCTGGTCAGGCGAATACCATGATCAAGCTGACGGACAATGCTGGTTGCTACTAGGGTCTACCTCCTCGAAGGCCTCTTCACGATCCTCTTCGCCGTAATAGTTTACCTCGTTCTCCCCGACTGGCCCAAAAGTCCCCGCAGCGACAAATGGCTCACCCCTCGAGAACAAGCCTACATCGAAGCCTGCCTCTCCGAAAACGCCCCGCGGACGGGTGACGCAAACTTCGCCAAATCCGAGGTGCTGGACTCGCTGGTCGACCCACGCACCTACGCCTTCATGTTCTCCCAGCTACTGGTCAATCTCGCTGGGTACGCCCTCACCTGGGAGCTACCGACCATCACAACCAGCCTGGGGTTCGCGGGGCTTCCGCGCAACCAGCTGCTGAACATCCCGCCCTGCGCGGCGGCCGTGCTGGCTGTCTTGTTCAGCGGGTGGTTCCAGAAGCAGGCGTATATGACGCGGCCGGCGTTCGTCAATTTATGCATCATGGGGCCCATGCTGTTGTTTTTTGTGCTGCTGGCGGCGTTGAGGTCGCCTGTTGGGGTGTATGTGGCTTGTGTGTTGGGGAATATGTTTTATGCGGTGTATTTTATTCCGTTCTGGGCTTGTATGTTTCCCCCATCCTTTTCCCTTCCCGCTTACTACAAGAGTGATATTCTGATATAGGGATGAACAGGGCGAAGCTCTTCTTTGAAAGGCACAACAGGCGCAGCCTTCACGCTAGCATTCCAGTCGTGCGTGGGACAGGTCGGGGGCGTGATCGGCCCGCAGCTGTTCCAGGAGCGCTTCGCAGGCAACGGGTACAAGACACCGTTTGCCATCTGCGCGGGGATGGTCGGGGCGGCGTGCATAACGAATGCGTGGACGTGGTGGCTGACTCGCAATGTGGAGTGGGATGTGCGCCGGGTGCGGCGGCTACGGATGCGCGAGGAGAAGCGGGGGCGGATCTACGCCGGGGAGGATGTGCGTGTATACGAGGAGAGGGAGTTTTATTCGGGGTTGCGGAGGGAGGAAGGTGTATAACCCTTAGGAGATATCATTCTATATGAGAGGGGAGGATCGAAATGGTGCGAGGGCGTTGGGAATGATTGGTTTAGATAGATCCCTTGATATAACTAGGTCGTTAGAGGTATCGGCTACAAAGATACCAAAGTACCGAAGGAGAGAACCCGTCTTTATATTGCTTTTTTGCTGGTGTCGTTTTGACATCATGGTCGTATTTGTGGATATCTGGTCCAGTGGGTGTGATTGTATTGAGGGGGTGTGGAGAAGAGAGTTTTTTTCTTTCTTTTGTAAAATGTGTTCATGTTTTATTCTATTTATTTCAACTTGTATTTTGTATCATACAATTTCATTTGATAGAGAATTGCTGGGCATGCCTGGGCACTAAGTGACTCGAGCGTTATAGTTTGTGCTATATATGTACTACATAGTCAGGACTCGCGTGATCTGTTTCCCAGTTGAGATTCTGACGAGTACCTCTAATTTAAGACAGCTACCAGACCTAACAATGGAAATAGTACAATATTGATATCCATCATGTAGGGCTCATGATTTTATATTTTTAGCATATATAATGATACCCACCAGGTATATAAGGTAGCCCATAAGCTTCTTGCCTGACTTTCCGCCAATGGCTGCGGGTAGAGTGACAGGGCTCTCGGCCCAACAACCCTGAGGCGAACGCCACACTGTACCTGAATGAGACATTTAGAATCCATTACCCACCAATATTATTCATATCATTCTGATTTTTACTGAGAAAAAGGCGGATTACCGGAATAGGGAAAATCTTCCTCGCGTGGGGCGCCAAAGGAAAAGAAAAAAAAGAAAGTACGGAGTAAAATAAGGGGAAAATTGGATCAAGAAATAACCATTGACAGAATCAACCAAATTCCAGCAACCAGTGTAGTGGAGTGGTGCATGTGAAAATTGTCCAGTTGGCTCCATTGAGTTGTCCATTTCGACCAATTAGCTGCCTCAGGATCCAGCTCAATGCCCGATCGGGTTAGACTGATCCCCGACAGCCCTGAGAAGCAACATCGACCAATCCGCTTCGGGATTTAGTCCAGATTCACTATCACGGCCACTGGTTGAATCTTCTGGTCAAACTTGATCCTAAACCCACTTTCATCATGGAGAAACCTTGCTGGGGTCCCCGTTTCTCAACAGTTTGCCCCGGCTTGCCTTCCCTTCTCTTCTTTCCCCCCCTCCCATCCCTCCTCCTCACTCCGGTTACCTTGCTACAAACGGTCATCCTCGTGTTCTCAAGATCTATCATTACCGTTGGACCACGGTGACTTTCCCCTCGTTGATCTCGTGAACTTCTAGAGTGTGGTGGGGTTGAACAGTTTTGTGGAGTATTTATTCTCTCCAGATCAGTCGTGTCTTTTAGTTAGACCCCCACGGTCCAGCGTTACTGGGACTTAATCACATAGATTCTCCTCCCCCCGGTCTTGAACCATGTCCCACATTGATATCACCAAAGACCTGTCGGCCCTCTTCAACAAACAGGTTCTCGCGACCCCCGACGCCCCCGCCTTGGAAGACGGAGAGACTACCTATACCTATAATGAGTTGGCACAGGAGGTGGACCGCCTGGCTCAACGCCTGCGCGATTACGGTGTGAGTCGGGACAGCCTGGTGGGCGTCCTGCTGCCGCGGAGTGCCCACTATGTCATCGCCTGTCTGGCCGCTCTCCGTGCGGGAGGCGCCTTTCTGGTCCTCGAGCTGGCCTATCCACCGGATCTGTTAGCCGATGTGTTGGCGGATGCCACCCCCGCCGTCGTTCTCACCCACAAGGCGGAAGCGGCCAAGGTCGGTGGCAGCGCTCCCGTAATCCTTCTTGACGAACCGCTGGCGGAAGTCAATGGACATGCGAAGGAAGCGTCCCCGCTGCCGGCGGACGATGACCTCGACCGACTGGCCTTTGTGTCCTACTCCTCCGGCACCACGGGCAAGCCGAAGGGCATCGCCAACCCCCACCGCGCCCCCGTGTATTCCTACGACCTGAGATTCACCGTCCAGGACCTCCACCCCGGCGATCGCGTTGCCTGCAACGTCTTCTTCATCTGGGAGATCCTCCGCCCGCTCTTGCGGGGCGCCACCGTGGTGACAGTGCCCGACGAAATCAGCTACGATCCGGCGGCGCTGGTCGATCTCCTGGAATCCAAGCACATTACCGAAACCTTGATGACCCCCACCCTGTTGGCCACGGTCCTGGTCCGACACCCCCATCTGGACACCCGTCTGCCCCAGCTCCGCACCTTGTGGCTCAACGGCGAGGTGGTCACCACCGATCTCGGACGGCGGGCCACCAAGTGTCTGCCCAACACCCGCCTGCTAAATTGCTACAGCACTTGCGAGACCCACGAGGTCGCCTGTGGCGACATCCGGGAGATGCTGACGAGCGACGCGCAGTACTGCCCCGTGGGACCGCCCCTGGACCCGGAGCGGACGTACATTCTGGACCAGGAGGGTCAGCAGCTCCCCGTGGGAGTGAGTGGGGAGCTGTTTGTCGGAGGCCCGCTCCTCGCCCGGGAGTACCTCAACCTGCCCGAGGCCACCCGCAAGGCCATCACTCCCGACCCCTTCGACCCGACCCCGGGATCCCGGATGTACCGCACCGGCGATAAAGCCCGCATTCTGGACTCGGGCTTCCTCGAGATCACCGGGCGCGTGGGCGACATGATCAAGCTCCGCGGGTATTCCGTCGTGCCCGCCAAGGTCGAAAACGAAATCATCAAGCGCCTGGCGGTCAGCAACTGCGCCGTGGTAGCCCACGGCGACGGCCTGGAAAAGGAGCTGGTGGCGTACGTGGTCCGCGACCGGGACGAGTCCGCCGATCGGCCCCAGATCGAGATCAACCCGTCGGGCCACAGCCCCGTCGCCCGCCGCGCCCTGCTGCCGTACCTGGCGCAATACATGATCCCCGCCCAGTGGGTGGAGTTGCACGAGCTGCCCACCCACGGGGTCTCGGGCAAGGTCGACCGCAAGGGCCTGCCGCCGCCGCGGAGTGCCAGCCCCACCGTCAACGGCGGAGAGGAGGCGGAGCGCGATCCGATCGGCCTCGACCATATCGCCGCCTTCTGGGCGGCCAGCTTGAAGACGTCACAGTCCCTCCTGCGGTGCGAAGACAACTTCTTCGACCTGGGCGGACACTCGCTGTCCATCGCGGATCTCGCTTCGCGGCTGACGCGAAACTTCGGCTTCACGGTCCCGATCGCCCGTCTGGCCGAGAATGCCACCCTGGACGGCCATCTGCAGACCGTCCGCGCGGTGCGCGACGGACACACCGCGGCGGTGCAGGCCGATCTCCCGGCCTTCCTGCGTGCCGACTCGACCCTCGACGAGGACATCCGGCCCACCGATGCCCGTATCTGCTCCGTCACGGACGCCGACACCGTCCTGCTCACCGGTGTCACCGGATACCTGGGCGCGTTCCTCCTCCACGATCTGCTGGAGAGCACCACCGCTCGGATCATCTGTCTGGTCCGGTTCACGGACCCGGCGGGCGACGACCGATCGGGTGGCGTGGCGCGCATCCGCCGCAATCTCCTGGACATGGGCCTGTGGCGTGATTCCATCATGGAGCGGGTGGAGGTTCTCCCGGGTAACCTGTCGCGACACCGGCTGGGCCTCTCGCGCGACTCGTTCGACGCGCTGGCGAGCCGCGTGCAAGTCATCGTCCACGCCGCCGCAACGGTCAACCTCGTGTATCCGTACGCCGCCCTGCGCACGGCCAACATCGGCGGCACCAAGGAAATCCTGCGCCTCGCTTCCCAAGGCGGCGCGACCGTGCAATACGTCTCGACGAACGGCGTGCTCCCCCGCACCCTAGCGAGAAGGGCTGGACCGAGGACGCCATGTTGGACGTGGACGAAGTCCCCACCAAGCTCCTCGACGGATACGGACAGACCAAGTGGGTGGCAGAGCGGCTGGTCCTCGAGGCCGGCCGTCGCGGTCTCCCCGTGAAGGTCCACCGCGCGGGCACAATCAGCGGGCACAGCCAGACGGGCGCGGCCAACGCGTGGGACCTGCTCTCCGCGCTTTTCGTCGAATCCATCAAACTGGGCTACGCCCCTGACGTCGACGGCTGGCGCGCGGAGATGACCCCCGTCGACTTCGTCAGCAAGTCCATCATCCACCTCTCCGCCCAGACTCACGCCGAGACCACCGTCTTCCACCTCGGCGATCCCAACCCCGTCAGCACGCGCTCCGTCTTCGACCACCTGGCCGAGCTCGGGTACCCCACGCAACGCCTAGGCTGGGAAGAGTGGGTCGCGCTGTGGACGGAGAAGCGCGGGTCCGTCAAAGGCGGCGATGGCGCCTTCACAGTCGACATCCTGCGCAGCGGCATGCCCACCGTGGACTTCCTCAAGGGCATCGTCGTACTCGACAACGCCGCCACGCGCCCCTTCCGCGCAGTCGTCGAACGCCCCAAGGTCGACAGCGTCCTGATGGAGACCTACACCCGCCACTGGTTCGCCCGCGGCTGGCTCTCCAAGCCCCCGTCCCGCACCACCTCGCCCACCATCCGCCCGCGCGGGCCCCTCAGCGGCCGCGTCGCCGTCATAACCGGCGCGTCCTCCGGCATCGGCGCAGCGGTCGCCAAAGCCCTCGCCAAAGAAGGCTGCCACGTCGCGCTGGGCGCCCGTCGCCTCGACGCCCTCAAATCCATCCAGCAGCAGGCCCAATCCCACGGCGTGAAGGCCATCATCCGCGCCACGGACGTAACCAACAAGACCCAAGTCGAAGACCTCGTCCGCAGCGCCCGCAGCGAGCTCGGGCCCGTCGATTACATCATCGCCTGCGCAGGCGTCATGTACTTCACGCTCATGGCGAACACGCAGACCGACGAATGGGAGCGCACAGTTGACGTCAACTGCAAGGGTCTCCTCCACGCGCTGTCGTCCACCGTGCCAGACATGCTCGCGCGCGGGTCCGGCCACGTCGTCGCCATCTCCTCCGACGCAGGCCGCAAGGTGTTCCCCGGGCTGGGCGTCTACTCCGCCAGCAAGTTCTTCGTGGAGGCTACGCTGCAGGCGCTGCGTGTTGAGACCGCGGGCACCGGGCTGCGCGTTACGGCTGTCCAGCCGGGTAATACGCAGACGGATTTGCTGGGTATGTCGACCGACGAGGAGGCTGTCAAGAAGTACGGAGGTGCCTCCGGGGCGCAGATTCTGAGCCCGGATGATGTGGCGGGTGCGATTGTTTATGCGCTGCGCCAGCCGGCGCATGTTTCTGTTAATGAGGTGTTGATTGAGCCGAGGGATGAGCCTATTTGAGTGTTTTATATTATAGATAGATACGAATTACGCTGTTTCGTTTTTTTGAGTAACTACATCCGGTTATATAGTAGGTACTATGTAGTGGTAGAAATGAGCTAGCCGGATGAGCAGCCTTGATTTCAAGGCCAAGAAGCTCGGGCCGGTCCTTGAGGCGGGTCGCCGAATGGCTATATTCCTGCCTGTACTACATCCGGTTCCTCTATCCCGGTTGACATTGGTTGAAGTGTTGATCTAGAAGAAGTTACTTCATCCTCGATACTAGGGCTAATACCTACTACCAAATCTCCACAGTGTTGACAATCCCTTGGTTAAGCCATGGGAATCCATCCGGGAGAACAGCCCACATATCTCGGTCTCAAACCGAGTTACCGAATATCCCGTCAGTCAAGCCTCGCCAAGCAATGGTCCCTAAATACTCCACCGCACCAGACTGACTCATAACACCTCCAGTCTAGTCCGCCGGTGTCAGATACTTTCACATGTGGATACCATCTATCTACCAAATGATGTCGGAATGTCATATCAGCCAGATCAAACCCGACCAAACCGATTGGTGGCTGTGGCTATCAGGTTGGTTAGCTATCACGGCTACTTAGTCCATATGGGTCCGGTGGAGACATCTTAGTCTTACACACTTAAGTATCTTACCGACGACCGACAACCGATGACAATAGGAAAATTAGAGATGGTGCGAAACGACACGATCTCTCCCGACGGGTTTGATTTGATGATTTTCAAACAGCCGAGTTGTGGTGTCGGTGTTATGCTTTCGTTGTTTCGGTTGATACATTCCGAGGGTAGAATTTTCTGCACCTACTAAGATTCCTGCTGGCGTTGAAGAAATTTTATTGTTGGTGAAGGGAGGTATAAAAAAAAAAATATTTCTAGACCAATCTGATCACCCCTTTAGTCTACTGAGCTGGACAATTGCCTCGACAGGTCGAGGACGTCGCCATGTTGGACGATGTGGAAAACAAACCTCACTCTCCCCTGGCAGGAGTCTACCGTGCCAGTATCCCGTACTGGCGCATGCTCACTGACCAGGCCGCCATCACCCAGGAGGTCCTGGACTATGACTACCCGGGGTCAGGCACCGAAGAAGACCCGTACTCCGTGTCGTGGATTCCCAATGACCCGCGCAACCCTATGCAGTTCAGTACCGTGCGCAAGCTGTCCATCACCCTGATTGTCGCCTTCTCCACAATGGTCGTCTCCCTGACGTCCTCCGCCTACAGCGGCAGCGTCGGAGAGGTGGTGGCGTACTTTGGCGTCAGTACCCAGGTTGCCACACTCGGGCTGTCCCTCTTCGTCTTGGGTTTCGCCGTGGGGCCCCTGCTGTGGGCTCCTTTGAGCGAGGTATGTCAACCCTCTTTCGTACAAAGCTACCAGGAAGACTCACAATTCCCAGGTTGTCGGACGCCAGGTCCCATTCTTCTGCAGCTTCTTCCTAATGTCCGCCTTCTCCGCCGGCTGCGCAGGCGTCCAAAACATCTGGTCCCTGCTGATCCTGCGCTTCTTCGCCGGCGCCTTCGGGTCCTCCCCCATAGCCAACGGCGGCGGCAGCATCTCCGACATGTACCCCGCGCGACAGCGAGGCCTAGCCCTAAGCCTCTACGCCGCGGCCCCGTACCTAGGCCCCGCCCTAGGCCCCATCACAGGCGGCTTCCTCGGCATGAACGCCGGCTGGCGCTGGGTCGAAGGCTTCCTCGCCGCCAGCGGCGCCCTCGTCTGGCTCCTCACAGCAGTCGGCGTGCCCGAGACCTACGCGCCGCTCCTCCTCCGCCGCCGCGCCGCCCGCCTCTCCCACCTAACCGGCAAAGTCTACAGCAGCAAAATCGACATCGACAAGCCCCGCCTCCCCTTCACCCGCCTCCTCGCCGTCTCCCTCTCCCGGCCCTGGGTCCTCCTCATCCGCGAGCCCATTGTCTCCCTCTTCGCAACCTACATCGCCATCGTCTACGGCACCCTCTACATGCTCTTCGCCGCCTTCCCCATCGTCTACGAGCAAACCCGCGGCTGGAACCCGGGCGTCGGCGGCCTCGCCTTCCTCGGCGTCATGGTCGGCATCATCATCGGCATCCTGTGCACAATCCCCGCAAACTTCCACTACATGCGCGTCCAGGACGCCCACGGCGGCTTCGCACCCCCCGAAACCCGCCTCGTCCAGTGCATGCCTGCTGCCATCGCCATCCCCATCAGCCAGTTCTGGTTCGCCTGGACTAACCACCCCTCTATCCACTGGTCCGTCAGCATCATCGGCACCGCGCCCTTCGGCTTCGGCCTCATCCTCATTTACCTGGGGGTCATGAACTACCTGATCGACTCGTACACGATATACGCGGCGTCGGTTTTGGCTGCGAATGCCGTGCTGCGGTGTATTTTTGGCGCGGTGTTCCCGATCATCGCGACGTATATGTATGATGGGCTGGGGATTCATTGGGCGCCGAGTATTCCGGCGTTCTTGTCGCTGCTGTGTATGCCAGCACCGTTCTTGTTCTATAGGTATGGGGCGGTTATAAGAACCAGGTGTAAGTATGCGGCTGAGTCGCATCGGTATTTATTGAGGTTGATGGAGGATGCGGGGCAGCAGAATAGTGCGCTGGGGGTGAAGTCTCCTGAACCTGTCGTTACGGAGGGAGAGAAAGGGGCGCGAGATTGATGATACATCATGTCTAATGTTTAAAGTACATATAGAGTGCATATAGAGTGCATATGGAGTCCAAATATAGAGTATAGACCACTGTCACTGCTAGAATCATCCTGATCCTAATCCTGGCAGACTACTATCAGTACATGAGCCGTATACTTCCCTGAGGCCAGACATATTTTATACGCCATGCTCAATACTATATATCCACGCTATACATACTACCTACTATAGCCTCAAACCAAAAGATCAACCCACAACCAACCGCGGCGCCCCAGCCCTATCAGCCTCCCTATTCAACGCCTCAATCTCCCCCTCCACAAACGGAATCCCCTCCCTCATCCTCTCCTCCTTGACAATCAACTCAATCTCCCCCGGATAATAAATCCTGTCAACCCCCTCCATCCTCTCCCCTCCAACAACCCTCCGATACAAATAATCCATCCTCTCCTTAAACTCCTCCAACCCCATAAACAAATCCGGCCGAATCGCCACCAAAAAATGCCCCACATCCGCCTCCCTCTCATTCTCACTATCATACGGCCCAACCACATTCCCCGCAAACGCAGACCCAGACAACACCCCCGAAAACACATCCATCATAACCGCCAACCCGCTCCCCTTCGGTCCCCCCATAGGCAACATCACACCCTCAAGCGCAGCGCGCGCATCAGTAGTCCGCTTCCCCTCCCCATCAAGCGCCCAATCCCCCGGAATCTCCTCCCCCCTCCGCGCAGCCTTATAAATCTTCCCCCGCGCAGCAACAGAAGGCGCCATATCCAATATAAACGCCGGCGCCTCCCCCGCAGGCGCCCCACACGCAATCGGACTAACCCCCAACAACTTCTCCCTCCCGCCCCAAGCAGGCAACGCCGGCGAACTATTCGTAAACACAAGACTCATCATCCCGCTGTCGAGCGCCTGCTGCACCAGCCACGCCGACATGCCGAAATGGTTACTGCGCTTGACGCTCGCCAGCCCGATGCCGTAAACCTCTGCTGAAGCAATGGCGGCTTTCATGCCGGCGTGCGCGGCGACGAACCCGAACCCGTTTTGCCCGTCGATGTGGGCTACGACGGGGGTCGTTTGGGTTATTGTCGGGGTGGCGGTGCCGTTTAGGGTGCCCCGGCGCAGGCGTTCCAGGTAGGAGGGGAGGCGGTTTATGCCGTGGGTGTCGACGCCGCGGAGGTCGGCTTGGATGAGGGCGTGGGTTATTGTTTCGGCGTGGGGGGCGGGGATGTTGTTTTTTTGGAGGAGGGTGAGGACGAAGGTTTTGGCGTTCTCGGGGGTTATGTGGTGGTATTCTTGCTTTGGGGGTTGTTGGGCCATTTTGGAGGTATGATATTGAGATGGTGTAGTTATAGAGGGAGGATGTGTAGTTGGAGAAAGATGGTGTAGTTAATGGACAGTGGACTGTTTTATACCTACTGTCGGATGTCCCCGCACTCCGGCTTTCTTCCGAGATTGGCTAACTCTACTAAGTACACTAAACTATACAGTCATATCATATTCATTGAGTCATATCATAAATAAATACTAAAAAGATAAAGATCATCCATAAAACCAATACTCCGCCGCATACTCCACCTCAAAAAACTCCTTCTGTCCCTCGCACGTCGAGGGCGCATTCCCCCCAGCTGTATACACCCTATATATCTCCTGAATCCCCCTCCCATCCGTCTTCACCAGCTTCAACCACGGCGCATCATCCCCGGCATTAGCATTAACCACGAAAGGCGTCCCGCTAGCATCCTTCTTCGCCAGCACCCAGTCGTCCTCGTCTCCGCCCCGTCCGAACTCAAACAACGGCGTCCCGTCAGCTAGGAAGTAATGCCGTCCGATGACAAGGTTCTTTTCTTCCGCTCCCCAGAAGAACACCCGGTTTAGCAGCCACGCGGCCAGCTGCAGCGGCTGGAGGGGGATCATCTTCACGACGCCTACGACGGACGATAAGGCTCGCTGGGCGTCTGTCTTTTGCTGGGCGGCGAGACAGGAGCCGTCGAAGAGGGTCGCGACGGCTCCGATTTGGGTCGGTGCGGTGGTTTTGTCGGTGCCGGTGCAGGTGTAGTTTTGGGTGCCGCGGCCGATAGCGAGGTGTTTGAGGGTGAGGCCGTTGGCTGGGGTGGGGAGACTGGGCTTGGTCTGGTTTAGGGGGAGGGAGACGGTTTGGGGGATGATGCAGCGGGCCCATTTTGTTGTCGTGAGGGTGGATGTCACTTCCTTGATGGCTTGGCTGGAGTCATCTGTGTGGGTGGGATCATGCCGGGTGGGAAAGGCGTATACTCCTAGAAGGAGGGAAAGAAATAGGAGTACCCTGAAGGAAAGCATTTCGGTTGTGATGTATACTGGAAAGAATATATGCAGAGCAGTAGGGAGAAGATCAACGGGTCATGCCGTGTTTATAAACAGGACGAGGCACACCCCCGTTATGTGAGACATGCTCATATCCACGCTCGGCATATCCTGCCGTTGTAACCCAGCGTGAGCTGTGCATCAAACGAACCCGGCTGGCAGCCACAGTCAGTGCACAGATCCAGTGCGCCTTGCGGGTAAACACATATTGACAGCTGTGGAGGCATATTATGATGTCTTCCATCGTCCGCAGTCGAAGGAATGTTGGTTCTGACACTGCCTCGTTGGATATCTCTTGTGGCATTGTCAAGGGCTCATTGTTATCGATCTCTGCCACTTTGGATCCAACCTCCATCAACGATATCACGTCCAACAGATAAAACACGTCTCACTCCTAGCTCTCTTCAGATAAACAGTGCCAGGTCCCATGACAGACAACCTCGTCTCTGCGACGCGGGGGTAAAAATAGCTTCGCTAGCCGCCCTGTGATCCTTTGTGAGATGAGTGCCATTATAGATGTGTCTCCACAATCCTTGTCATCGCACAGAAAGCTTCTTACGCAGCGCGTACGCGGGGTGTTCGGGAACAATTGCCTGGACAGAGACTTATGGAAAGAAGAGGCGAGGCAGTGAGACCGAACTAGACAGTATCCGGGCTGACGATTAAGCGCCCGGGATCAATCCTGGACATCATCTGCGATCCAGAACGAATCGCTCCCTCGTGGTCAAACCTTGTTATTCTGGGTCATCTGGCTAGGAAGGTAAATCTCCGATGGGTTGGTTGCACTGCATGATGATGTTTGATTTGTTATGGTTCCAGAAGGACGGGTAGTGTTGTCATGAGCATATTGTGCATCCTGATGGATAGTATGTTTCAGTAGGACACGATCTAGAAGGTACAGTCAGTGTGTATAGATTGCTATATCAACCTCTCTCATTATTGACTGGATCACCGTGGATAGACACGATCTGGCTCGTCACTGCCAACTTGGAACAAGTTGTGCAAGTAATCTAGTCCGCTGCATAATAATTATGCCTTAGGCCCCTACCAAGCTATAGGTCACGTGTGCTTAGTCATTACTTACTCACCCGACTGACGCCAACTTCATCCTTTCGCGCAGAGTATTTTCTCCGTATCATCATCAGCGATTCAACCCAACATCATCTCTAGTACGCCGTTCTCGCGGTACCCTATCCGGATGTAGCTGCTGCTGCCCATGCTTGGGATTATTGGCTCTCTTTCACATCTGTGAAGCTCGCACAACCGCCATCATGTCTGACTGTTGGTCCACCCCAACCTCCCCCCATCCCCCATCCCCCATCCCCACATGGCATTCCGCTGATACCATCCACAGCCGATTTTGAGGCCGTTCGAAAGCTCCAGGCGGAGCGCAACGCTGCCGCAGCTGGGAGTAAAGGTTCTAGGACCTTTGATCCGTCTAGCCAGCGCACTGACAACTCGACCAAGGCCTCCATGACGGAATCCTTCGACACGACCCTATACGACCGCGGTGGCGCCGAGAAATTTGCCGGCTATGATACCTCGATTGCGGTCGACGGCGAGGATGAGGAGATGGAAGATGCCGATGCCGGCCACCGCTTGGTCGGCCAATACACTGCCACCACTAGCCAGATGGACGAGTTCGCCCGCGGAAATGGGGTCGAGGAAGAAGACGCCCTGCTCGGGCGCGAAAAGGCTGCCCGGATCGCCGACCGCGAGTCCGATTATCAGAAGCGCCGGTTTGACCGCGGTGGCTTGACCCCTACCAGGGCCGATCCGTTCGCCGCGAACTCTCAGGCCAACGAGGGGGAAGGCCAGAGCTATCGTGAAGTCATGGCCCTCCGCGAGCTGGAAAAGGAAGAACAACGGGTTCAGAAGCTGATCTCTGATAGACAGGACTCGGGTGAAAATGGTGTTCCCGAGCATGAAGCCACCTTGACAGCGGGGGATAAGGAGAACGAAGACGCCGGTTCGACCGTTGCTGCCACAGGACGCAAGCGCAAGCAACGGTGGGATGTGTCAACGGAGCCGACCGACGAGAAAGCCGAGACCCCCGAGGCTCCAGAGTCAAAGCCCAAGCGATCACGATGGGACCAAACGCCCGTCCCCGGTGCTCCCGATGAAGGTTCCAAGCGCCGGTCGCGTTGGGATCAAGCGCCCTCCCTCACTGCTGCCACCCCCGTCGGCAATGCAGGCCTCGCCACCCCCATGCATCCCTCTCAAGCAGGCGCTACGATGATTCCAACTAGCTTTGGTACTGATATCTCCGGTCGAAATGCCCCACTGTCGGACGAGGAGCTGGATATGATGTTGCCCTCCGAGGCGGACGGCTACAAGATCCTGGAGCCTCCTCCGGGCTACGCCCCGATCAGGACACCCGCACGGAAGCTCATGGCAACCCCGGCTCCCGTTGCCAGCTCCACTGGCGTCGGGGGCTTCATGATGCAGGAGCCCGAGAGCGTTCGCTCGTTGGGCAAGCAGCTGCCCACCGATATCCCTGGAGTCGGTGATCTGCAGTTCTTCAAGCCGGAGGATATGGCCTACTTCGGGAAGCTGATGGAAGGCGGCGACGAGTCCGTCATGTCGGTGGATGAGATGAAGGAGCGCAAAATCATGAGACTGTTGCTGAAGGTCAAGAACGGCACGCCGCCCATGAGAAAGACTGCCCTGCGTCAGCTCACGGACAATGCACGGCAATTCGGAGCCGGTCCGCTGTTCAACCAGATTCTCCCTCTCCTGATGGAGAAGTCGCTTGAGGATCAGGAACGCCATTTGCTGGTCAAGGTCATTGATCGTGTGCTGTACAAATTGGACGATCTCGTTCGCCCCTACGTACATAAGATTCTCGTTGTCATTGAGCCCCTCCTCATCGACCAAGACTACTACGCCCGTGTTGAAGGTAGGGAAATCATTTCCAACCTGTCCAAGGCGGCTGGTCTGGCCACCATGATCAGTACCATGCGTCCCGATATCGACCACGTTGATGAGTACGTGCGTAACACGACTGCTCGAGCGTTCGCCGTCGTCGCCTCTGCCCTTGGTATTCCCGCCCTCCTGCCGTTCCTGCGTGCCGTCTGCCGCAGTAAGAAATCGTGGCAGGCCCGGCACACTGGTGTCAAGATTGTCCAGCAGATTCCCATCCTCATGGGCTGCGCCATCCTTCCTCACTTGAAGGGTCTGGTTGACTGCATCGCTGATAACCTTAGCGATGAGCAAGCCAAGGTGCGAACAGTCACGGCATTGGCCGTGGGAGCTCTGGCTGAGGCGGCCAACCCTTACGGTATCGAAAGCTTCGATGAGATCCTTAACCCCCTGTGGACGGGCGCCAGGAAGCAGCGTGGCAAAGGACTGGCTGCGTTCCTCAAGGCCGTCGGCTATATCATCCCGCTGATGGACGAGGAGTACGCCAACTACTACACCAGCCAGATCATGGAGATTCTTCTCCGCGAGTTCTCTTCCCCAGATGAGGAGATGAAGAAGGTGGTTCTCAAGGTGGTTTCGCAGTGCGCCAGCACGAATGGTGTGACGGCGGGGTACCTCAAGGAGCATGTTCTGACAGATTTCTTTAAGAGCTTCTGGGTGCGGCGCATGGCTTTGGACAGAAGAAACTACCGCCAGGTGGTCGACACGACCGTCGACCTTGGACAAAAGGTGGGCGTCGGCGAGATCCTGGAGCGTGTGGTGAACAACTTGAAGGACGAAAGCGAGCCATATCGAAAGATGACTGTGGAAACTGTGGAGAAGCTCATTGCCTCCCTCGGGGCTGCCGATATCTCGGAAAGACTGGAAGAGCGGCTGATCGACGGTGTTCTCCACACATTCCAGGAGCAAAGCATCGAGGACCTCGTTATTTTGAACGGGTTCGGAACCGTCGTGAATGCGCTCGGCACCAGGTGCAAGCCGTATCTGCCGCAGATCGTCAGTACCATCCTCTGGCGACTGAACAACAAATCCGCTACGGTCCGTCAACAGGCCGCAGATCTCATTTCACGGATCGCCATGGTCATGAAGCAATGTGGCGAGGATGCGCTCATGGGCAAGCTTGGTATCGTGCTGTACGAGTACCTGGGTGAAGAATACCCCGAAGTGCTTGGTTCGATCCTGGGAGCTCTGCGTTCCATTGTCACCGTCGTGGGTATCAACCAGATGCAACCGCCCATCCGCGACCTCCTCCCCCGTCTTACGCCCATCCTGCGAAACCGTCACGAGAAGGTGCAAGAGAACACCATCGATCTCGTGGGTCGTATCGCCGATCGCGGACCCGAAGCGGTCAACGCCCGCGAGTGGATGCGTATCTGCTTCGAACTGCTCGACATGTTGAAGGCCCACAAGAAGGGCATTCGCCGTGCTGCCAACAACACGTTCGGTTTCATTGCGAAGGCCATCGGTCCTCAGGATGTCCTGGCCACCCTCCTGAACAACCTTCGCGTGCAGGAGCGCCAGTCTCGTGTGTGTACAGCCGTCGCCATCGGTATCGTCGCGGAGACATGCGCCCCGTTCACCGTCCTTCCAGCGCTGATGAACGAATACCGCGTGCCGGAGTTGAACGTGCAAAACGGTGTGCTGAAGGCCATGTCCTTCCTGTTCGAGTACATCGGCGAGATGGCCAAGGACTACGTCTACGCGGTGACGCCCTTACTCGAGGACGCGCTCATTGACCGGGACCAAGTGCACCGACAAACAGCCGCCAGCGTCGTCAAGCACGTCGCGCTAGGCGTGGTCGGCCTCGGCTGCGAAGACGCCATGGTGCATCTCCTCAACCTTGTCTTCCCCAACATCTTCGAAACCAGCCCACACGTGATCGACCGGGTGATCGAGGCCATCGACGCGATCCGCATGGCCGTCGGCACAGGCGTCGTGATGAACTACGTCTGGGCAGGCCTGTTCCACCCGGCGCGCAAGGTGCGCACGCCCTACTGGCGACTGTACAACGACGCGTATGTGCAGAGTGCGGACTCGATGATTCCTTACTACCCCAACTTAGACGATGACGGATTGGCGCGCTCGGAGTTGGCGATCATTGTATGAACAAAAGCTCGTCGTTTGGATGTACTTTCTATTGCACTTGTTTCTTTCTTTGCTACTGTTTCTAGCATTCGCTTGGGCGGTTTTGATTTGCGACGGTGTTTCGTTGCTGGCGGGTTGGGATATGTATCTAATTAGGAGCGGATAGTAATGGATTCTCCATTGTAACACTTCTTCAGTTAAATCTCCTGAGATGATGGGTGGGCATAGATTCGCATATCGATGAAGTATATACCTGTATAGCCAACCACGGCAACGCCTTATATATAAACCAAACGTCGAATAATAGAGACGATGTCATACCGTATATCGATCATTGGTGGGTAATAGTGAAGATCAAAGTATCAAGTATATATCCATCCACTATCCAGACATCAGAGTGACTATCACCCGGTCGATCTGGGGATTGTCTATGCTGATCGTAGAGTTCATCACATCAAGATCTATATCTCCATACAAGACAAACATTATAACATTATATTCACCATATCACTATATTCAATCTACAGATAATACTCACAAAATAATCCATGCTGACCTCATCCACCACAGCGAAAATACGAGAGAAAGAATAGACGCTTACATAACCCCTAACACCACCATCCCATCCACCACACCCACCCACACACTCAGTCAGCCACCAGATTCTCCTCGTCATACTCATCACAGGGGACAATGATACGGGCATTAGGATGCATATTGCATACTGCATTGCATGTCACATATTACGAGAGTAATCACTAACAGCCCGCCCATCCATAATGGGCCCCCCAACACAATTCGCCCGTCCATGTCTGCTGGTGTTTCCCGTCCCTGAACACGACCCTCGAAAAAAAAAAAAAAAAAGAACGCATTGGTAGGTGACGGACGGTAGTGGTACCCACACCACCTCTACTTTTTTCTCTACCAGTGCGCAACAAAACTAAATCCAATCCAATCCAATCCATGGTGGCAACGCATTCGCCACAAGACACAGTTCCACTCAGATCCATGGCGTCGGTGCCAAGCATTCGCCCTGCAGCCTTGAGCTATGTGCCGCGTAAGCCTTCTCCATCCGCCTATGTCATGTGCGGGCTTGGCGGAGGGTCCCTCCTGTGGGGAAAGGGGATTTTCGACTTATTGGGTAGGTGGACTGTACCTTAGTAGGTAAGGTAGGTTACCTGGTAGGTAGGGACTAAGATAGGGACCTAACTAAAGGTGCAGTGCCAGAACTTCAGATTAAGTAAAGACCGAGGGATTATCGTTATTGGTTGGGGAGGAGGGGATACTGGCTTGAACCGTGTAAAGTGGTGTTTAGCTACTACTTACGGATACTCTTAGTAGGTATGGGGTTCAAGAGGCTGGGTCACCTATGGAATGATAGATAGGTAGTTGACTATTAGTATTATCTTAGTTATGGTGCCAGAGACGGCTGGTTGGGCTTAAGCATCCTCCACTCTCTCTCTCTGCCCCATTATCGGGGAGATTCTTTATTGGTTACATTCTTTCTTTATTTCCCCTTCTTTACTGTTGTTGTTATGTTATTATGTTACTTGATGTGCTTTGACTTTCTACCTCGTAGTGCTTTTAGTGTACAAGTGCCCCATCTATCATTTCCTCTATCGGTATGATAGAGACGGATGGATTGAGGCTGACACGAGACTTGGCAGTGGACACAGTAATCATGGTATGTCATGCCATGAGAACTAACTACAACAATCACACTGTCATGAAGCTAAACTGGTATGACGGATCAGTCGCAGTAGAGCTGCATCCCTACTAATATCCGTCTCCAAACATACGTAAGGCAGACGCGCATCACAGAAACATTCTTTCTCCTCCACCCTGTACGTAAATGTAGCACACTGCATACTTCTCCCCCCCTCCCCACCGGTGCTGATAGGTCTGGGAAACCTTTTCCTGAACATGTCCAATTTGGTGTTCCAGGAGCGCAGACGACGCCCGGTCCTCGCGTTGTTCAATGGCTTTCCCGCCTGGCACCGGAATGTTACGATGGAGGTGGACGCTTTGAGTAGGAGTTGGTATGATATTATTCGCCCGAGTGCCTGGGAGGGTACTATGGGGTATAGTCAGCCTGATACTTGCGCCCTCCTCCTCGGGTTCATGTGAATGAAAGTTCTCGCTAAGAAGGGCAGGTCGCTTCGCAGCGGACTTTGTCCGTTCGTTCGTATCTGAGTCCCGGTTCCTAGATCGATATCGTTTGATCTGGTCGTATTGTCTATCCTTTTCTTACTCATATTCCATTCTTTTTTATCTATATAATTCATTCAACCTTGTGATCATATCGAATAAGTAAGCCCTCTAAATATACAACCGAAATCAAACTCAACCGGTCGCAACGTCAGCCCCTCGACACGACTTACGATTTAACCCGGTAGCGTCAGAGAAAAGAACCCGGGTAGCGTCATCGAGAAAAAAAGAAAGAAAGAAAGAAAAGAAAAAAAAAAGAAAAGAAGACAAACTAATCAGGGACTCACGACTAGTCTCATCCCTCTAACCGTTAGACAAGTCTGGGCGGAACCCGGTCCCTGTCGATACTACTCCGTGCTAGAGTGGGAGAGGTCGTTGTAAGAACTAGGCTAGGGCACTTGGCATGAAGCCCGGTCGTCCTAGCGCCCGATCAAAGGAGCAATCCTGTATCCGTAAATGGTCTGGACGTCTTTCACTCGGACGAGGGAGGGAATTGGAGTTGTCTGCGCCTTATGGTATCTTCTTATATAGTAGACTGTGTTATACTTTCACGCTCAGGGTGGTTAGTTCTGTTCCATCCACTCGTTCCATGGAGAGGTGGACATTCCTGCGAAACTACCATACTAATGTAGTGTATTCCCACAGACATTGCGCACGTCCTCGGGACGTGCTGGAGATAGATAGGTCGTACTTTGGACATACATCTCCAAAGTTCTTTAGCTACTGTGATTACGATGTAGGAATCAATCGGAAGGAGTCGATTGTGCTGCAGCTGCACCCGGACGCCATTGACATCAGCCAAGCGGAGGACTCCACTTTCTGCACACTTGGGGTGTTTATTCCCGTTGGGGATCGCGGCTTGCCCGAAGCTTGTTTATTTGATTTGGGCTTTACTTTTGATTCTTTGGTTGACGGAGAGACTCCGTACACTGTGATCCTAATAAGGCAACTTCCTAGCGTGGTTTACTTTTGTGCATGGTTGGGTTCGTATTAAGGTTATATTGTCACGAGCAGATAGATTGATAAAGAAAATCAACCACCATATTGAAGACACAGACGCCCATAATAAAGACTGAAAATGATCTCACAGACAAATAAAGTAGTTCCTAGTCACCCCCATGCAATAGCTGAATCTCAGAAAAAATTAAAAGAATCGTTCAGGAATGACAGAACACGCGCCCTCCCCGACCACGCAGCCAGTGGGAAGACACGGGGCGCTGGACGGCGCGTTTCAGGATGGTGCTAGTGCGGGCGGACTAGTGCCAAGTGAGAGGGGGATGGCAGTGGGTGTGGGGCTGATAGGCCGGGATCGCATCCAGGGATTCGCTGCGGGGTTTGTTGTAGTCAGGTACTTGCTATCTTATTTACCTCTGTATTGCTGACTGTGTCCCTGAGAGGGCTGATGTTATATGTTTACGAGTTGATGATATACGAGGTTTGAATGAAGGAAAGTAGAGCGCGTGGATAGATTAGGTCTGAATTCTATGAAGTAATACCTAGTTAGTGCTGGATCTGTAGAAACGCCATGACAATGCACCTGACACCACGAAAGGCAAAGGTATGGCGTTTTTGGCCCTACACCTCCAGCCCACAAAATCAAAATAGATTAACAGTAACGTAGTTGTCAAATAAGAGAAAAAAAAAAAAAAAAAAAAAAGACAGAAAAAGAAGGGAAAAGCAAAAGGGAAAAAAAGGTGCACGCGTCAGCTCCTGTGGGGCCCCATGGATGATTGGGTGATCATATCCCGCCAAGCTCGGCTATCGACTATCTGCCGTCTCTGCAGTGGGGCTCCGGGACCGGCTGAGAAGGTGATTCAGTGGGAGTGAGCCAATAGCGGCTCTTGGGTTTTGCAGGATTCCTTCTATATTTGGGATAGCGCGGCTGTAGGGAGCACTCGACTAGGATGGAGAAGAATCCCACTGGTGGTATCATATTTGACATTGATTCGGTTGGACTTGGCCGTAGCTTGGGAATCTCGACATATCTTGATATGTCCAGCAGGAGGATTTTCTATTCTGGAAACACGTTCCCGAGTATTGACTAGCGTAGGTACGAGGTAACCTACCAGAGTACACTAAGGTTATCAGGTTAATTCATTTAACAAAGCGTTCGGGTGGACCGCCATGTGTGGATCGGCGGACTTAGTGCATCGGAATCGCGGGCCAATCAGCAGATCTACTGCTCTTTTGTTCTCTTTCATTCAATGTTTGGTTATAGTCATGAGGAGTTTATCCAATCTTGTTTAATTAATATGGTTATCTTTGGGTTCCAAACTCTCCAAAGATAGAGCCCAAATTAACTGTTAGCAAATCATGTGGACCTTCTATTTTTTGCCCTTGAATAGTGGATATACCCCCCAAAACAGCAAAAGCTGAGGACTGAAAAGCTGAGGGCAAAAGTTGAAGACTGCGGAACGTTCGGTCGACCTTCCATAATCTTGGCGCGCGGGCTTCGGGGACCAAGTGCATCCTGGTTGGGACACCGATGGCGTTGCAGGGGAGGGAAAGACCGGAGACCAATGATGGCGTGAGACCTGCTTCCTCCTGTTCGATTTGTGTTACATACCACAAATGTCGATGATTTTCATCCGTTCAATTGATCAACTGACGTGATATCCTTCCCCCTTCCAATCTATTCACTCGAAAGTAATCCAGAGGTTGGATCTGACTAACCCCCCCAAACGCCAATCACGACGATCTGCCGTGTGGGATCTGCCAAGATGGGACCCCCCCATGCAGATGACAGATGTCTTAAAACGTTCTTATTTCGGTCGATATTCGCTTGATCATCCCAGGTTCCTGACGATTAACGTCTTGGGTGGTTTGGCAACTGTCGATCCATGTATGGATCTCATGGTGTACATGTACATACTACGGAGTACATATGTATACAATATCGTATCTGTCCTCGGGAGAATTCCAACCTTGTGGGACGATGAGGGGTTGGGCTCACGGACCTGCTGTGATACTCTC